TTGACTTGTCGAGTCCAATGAACGAGAGTTAAGCATATAATTATGCATTCCACAATACATTCCAGTTTCACTCTACATATTGAGTAATTGATATCTTCAATAGCCAACATTATTTTCGCGGATGAAATATAGTTTGCTAATTCTGATTATGCTGATTATTTCATGTCATTGGTTCTTATCAACTCCATTATTGAAGAAGGCAAAATTTAAAATATTTTATTACGAAATCTTATACGTCACATACTCTCGTACAAACACCATATAAAAAAACCTATGCATTCAAATCAACAAAATTCCATTGTTATTAGGGAAGCTTCTCGTTGAATACCTAGAAGACTAAAAGAGGAAAAATGGAAGGCTGAAGACAGTAAAGTAATCTTTCTCCAATTCAGAGCCTTTGATTTCCCATATCACAAGGGTTAAACCTCCCATTGTGTATTTGAGTATAGATACATACACATGCAAGCTTAAACAGAAACTTGGTATGTTACATTAATCATCATCCATATAAATCAAAACAAAGAGAGAGTCAATTCCCAATTTTCCCGCCACTGGGACGTCTTTTTTAATTATATATCTATCTACGGATCACCTGGAAGAACGAATTTTCCTGACCTGAGAAGCGGCGCTGCATCTCTTGATCGACTCTATTCTCTGAAGCCGAATCTGCTCCCTGAATTTCGCTATGAACTCGTCGGCTTTCTTATCCACGTCCGGCGGCCCTCCAGCGCCACCTCCTCCTCCCCCGTCGTCGTTTCCACTATCACCACCACCCGGCAAAGCCACCTTGTCATTCTCCTCTTCCTCGTACTCCGTCTCCGACGAATCCTCGTCCTCCATCACCAGCTTCTCCACCCGTTCGTTCTCCGCCGCCGCCGGAAACTCCGAGAAATTCGGCTGATCAATGAAATTGCTCGCCGCTGCGTGCAGTTCTTCGTTTCTGATTGTCTTCATTTCGTTTGTGAAGCTTTGATTCAGTTGCCTGACAGGAGAATCCCGGCCGAAATCAGCGGTGGCGGAGGCCGGTCTCATCGAGGTTGATTTCCTCACCGCGGACGGCCGCGGTGGAGGTGGAGGCGGTGGAGGAGGAGAGCGGTAGACGGTTCTCTTCCTGACGAAATCCTCCGCACTCTTGGCTTGTACCTCGGAGAAAATCGGAGAATCAGATCCCGCAGCAGGAGAATTGGACCGCTTCGTCGATCTGGAAACCGTCGCTGGCGGAGCTGGTGGAGGAGGCGGCGGCGGGGGTGGAGGAGTAGAAGCAACTGCAACCGTCAGATCCGGGGAGGATTTTTTGAATTCGAATTTTCCAGATCTGGATCTCCATGGAATTGGAGAAGGAAGCACGACGCTAGCCTTCGATTCGTCTCCGAGATCCACTTCGCTTCGATCAACGCCCCTATTAGCTCCCGAAAACCTCTTCGAATTCCCCGCGGGAGAAGACCTAGCCACAGAACCGCCGTCTGATTCCGCCGATTTCAAGCTCCTAATCGGCAGGAGCAGCGGCTTCTCGCTCCGAATCAACTTGCTCCGTTCTTCTCCTTCGTCGTCATCGGCGACGACAACAACAGGCTCGTTCCGCAAGTACCGGCTGCTCCACGTCTGTACTCTGCTGGCCGTCTCCGCACCGTCGCCGCCGCCGATCACGTCGTCGTCGAAGACCGACGATACAGGGAGGAACCTGGAGACGTAGGATTGCGCGACGTCAAACTTGTTGTTATTAGAGGTGGCGGTTTCTTTCCGATCGGCGTTGCAGTAGGCGTCGTCGTCGTCGTTGCGTCGTCGGCTGAAAAGGCCGTAGGAGACGGCGATGCCGACGAAGACGAGGTGGAGGAACTCCCAGCCGCGAGTGTCGAGGGTGTGGGTGAGGAATTCCGGGGCCTGGGAAGGGAGGAGAGGCAGGATGAACATGAAGATGGAGACGATCACGGCCTTGTAAAAGAAATGTGAGTAGACTCTGTTTTGTTTCTGTTGCTTTACCGCAGCGTTGTTGTTGTAGTAGTAGTTTGTGTAGTAATCCGCCATTGGAGAAGCTAGCAGAGAGCTAAGATTAAGGTTTCTCTTGGAGCTCAAAATTGTGGATTTTAATCCTCTGTTTTGGAATTTGGAGAAGGAATGCGAAGAAGAAGAAGAAGGATGAGGAGGAGGGGAAGGAGAGACTTAAGAATTAAGGAAAAGTACAGAGTATAGAACAAAGTAGAAACAGAAAAGGGAAAGCAGAGCATAGGAGGGAATGGTATTTCATTTCAAAGGTCTGCATTGGAATGGGGTTAATTTTTTTACCTTTTTTCTTTGTAGACTCTCCCACTAACCCTTTATTCTTTAATTACATCCAAAAATCATTCGGAATACATGACTTATGTATGTCCTAAGAAGGCTCTGTCTAGTTGATTATACAGTGTAACAAGACTTTGTTTGAGGTAATTTGGGTTAAGTGTTTCTAGATGAAGTAATTGGTTTAAATCAACCCGTTTGTTAATACAAAATAGGGATGTAACAATTGTACTGAAGTAATTTGATTTTTTTTTATTATTTTTCATCGATTTAAAGTGACAGGAAGGAACGGAAAATATTTTAAAATGATGCATCAATTATTGGATGAAGTAAGGGGTCGTTTGGATAATATGAGTTTAAATCTATAGATTGTCAACAATCTAAAGATTCTAACTCTTCGAATTGTTGAAAATAGATTTCAAAATGTTTATTGTTTGGTAACTGTGATTGTTAACATTCAATGAAAATAAAAATAAAATTTTTATATTAAATACCATGTTTATTCTTAATAATAAATTAGAGTAGTTCGAGAAATACTAAAAACTTTGTTAGTAAATATATTAAATATGATAAATAAATAAAAGAAAGAGAAAAGGTAGGAGAAAAAAAATCTCATAAATCAAGATATAAAATCTCTCTGATTATGAGAGATTTGATATCCATAGATTTTAGAGATTTGAAATCTCTAAAGCTAAAATCCACAACACAAAAAGCAACAAAAAAACATAACTTTCTCCAAAATCTATGGATTCAATGACTAAATCCCGTTCTCCAAACGACCCCTAGTTTCAATACAATTGAATCAAATTGTCTCATTTCTGAAATCTAGCATCAAAATCACCCTATGTGAAAAAAATAGAAGACTATAAAAGATCATCATCCTGTATGCTATAAATGTTATTAAACAACTTGTACAGCCTCGTTTGTAACAATAAAATATTCTTCTTAGCAAACTTCATTTCTATGTGGTCGCTTATAACTTTGCTATATTTGTTACGAATTATGTAAAAACTAAAAAGAGTTTAGTAAAACAGTGAGAAATGATAAAAAATAAAAAACAAATAATCACGAATAATATGAGATTTAGTTGGTATTAAACAAGTGTGCAGTACTATACTACTATTTGACATCACTAAAATTGGGTTTAAATTCCGCATATTTGGATATATTAGATTCAGAAACTAGATTTGTACGTTAATATGAGTAGTTTTATTTTTATAGATAATACAATAAACCTGATATTCATTTATACATTTATGTTGTATGACAGAACAATCCTTATCCGATCTTCTAATTCCGCCACGGAGGAGTGTGACCACTCAAACTGATAATGAGAAGAGAAGGTGTGGCAATATGGTGCTTAAGGGTAGAACTGGCAAAGTAAGGTCGGTTCTGGAATGGTGGGGTGAGGTTAGAGGAGAATCTTCTTTTGGACTGCGTACGCTAACCTTTCCTTCAGATTCTGCCTTCTCGTTAATCCCTCCCGCGTTAGTTCTAATGTTACTAGTTGTTCTGCTGACTTGGCCCTGCTTCCCTAAATGGTAGGTAATTAGTATTTAATGATGCTCCTGCTAACTGGAATCTATCGCAATGCCATTGCCATGCTAAGCTGGCAAGCCACCCTTTTGATAGATTCTTTCTCCCATTAACGCTCCATTGGAATGTAGCATATATGTGATTTAGTTAGTTGAGGGATTTGTTCATTTCTTTAATCATCTAAACAGTCGTCTAAATATCCCTTATCCCCATGCAAATCAATCGTATTTTTCTGCTTAGATAGGAAACCCGAAATCCATTAGTCCAACTAATAAGAAAGAATAATGAAAAGAAGAGAAGACAATAGACAAAGCAAAGAACTAAAAGGACAATTAATCAAACAATTGATGCTTGGATGTATTCTATTTGCAAAATTATACATGGACCTAGACCATTTTAATAAGAGTTAATCCTACTTCCGTGGACAATAGCCTTTTCGCCATATTTCTTATCTTTCTTCGAGTTTTATGCTGTGGAAATATAATTATAATTTAAAGGAGTTTTTGACCTAATGATAATGTACTAACGAATTCACGTATTTTTGAATTACAATATGAATAATGAATTCGTTTAAATAATAGGCGCATTCAACAGAAAAAAAATCATGCTATGATATGTAAAGACAAGTTCTACTCAGCCATCTATTTGAATCAAAAGGTAAAAGGGACAAAATAATAGGTGGCAACTATTTCAAAGCTTTACCAAGGTTTGTCCTCCTCCACCTTTTGACTTTTTATTTGTTTGATAATTAGCGATTGGAATTTGTCTCATGAGCATATAATATGTGTAGCCCTAATTAACTAGGGTTTTCTTTTCTTAGTGGGGGAACAGATGGATCCTATGCAATCTTGACTCACACGTCACCAGCATCAATCTATATTTCAGATGTGTACATGAGCATATATGATCTGAGGCTGCCATGTGAGGAGCTCATAACACCAAAGCAGATAAGATGGGCTGAGATTGATAACCTTTTTATTAGCTGAAGTAATTAGGTCGATAAGGTATCTCTCTTTTGCACTTTCTCTTTCCAAATGGCCCATTTTCCCTTTCAGGGGCCGTAAGTTGAAGCCTTCCTTCGAATGGTAACCTGGAAATGGATCACATTCCAGCTTTTCGAGGCTCTCTGCTCTCGAATTCTTGGTAGCAGCCAAGGCCACATAAGAGGATTCAACCAGTTCCAAATGGTACTACTTGTTCAGTTTCGAATCATGAGGCTGCACCAACTAGAAAAGAAACCTATCGAATCAATCGCGACGAGATTGCCAGAACAGAGAGCTTTCGGAGTTAAATTGGTGAGAATGTGCAGAGTAGAAGACCACCAGAGAAATGAAAGTAAAAGGCCAAAACTTTAGTCCTGAGTATATTAGTAACTTCTGGTATTGCATTCCAGAAATCAAAATCCTTTCATGATAGGAAGAAAGTAGTAAAACCACTAGAATCCGTAAACTAATACAGCTGAGTCGAAAATGAAAACAATGATTAAACTCTGCTGCAGCACCTCAGGGTTCATCGTCGATCAGAGAGCGCAACTGCTGTCGGAATGTGGGGATTTTGTCTGCTTCGACTGCCATAACCAACCCCATTGATACGTAGTTCTTCAGCTGAAACAAGTAGATTCACATTGTAAGACACGGCGGAAGGTCTTCAAAGATCCGAAAACAGGAAGCTGAGTGCAATTAATGAGAGCAGGAAAAAAGCATAAGTTACACTGTCACGGGCGCTTTTGTGTTTGCCCTAAGGGTCCCAAATAGGAATATAAGGGTGAAGAATGAGAAGCTAGGCAGAGTTCTAGGGCAAAGAATATTATTGAAGATAAGGAGATAAATACTTGCCTCACTGGAGGTCACATGCTGGATTTTGAGAGGGAAACTGAACGACCATGAAGACAGCTGAAAGGCAAACAAGGGATCAGAATCAATCAATATCGTAAGTTTAAGTATAATATTGAGAAACAAACCATGAAATTGCACAACAAAGAGGTACAAACCTCATGAAAAAGCTCGTCCTCGGCCTTCACATATATTACTGGCTCTTCTTCATTATCAGCTTTTTTCTCTAGTTTACCATTTGCTTTCTTATGCTGCAAGTCACGTACAGATATAAGAAAAGATACAGACCTCTTGTAAACGAAGCAAGATGAACTGACAAGGAGTTACCTTATAAATTTTAGTAACAATCAAATAGGTCTTGAAGCGGAAGGAGTTCCGAAGCTCCTCTGTTGGCTGAAAGAATAAAGTATAGATTTTATTAGAGCATTGGACAAAATTTTGCATTGTGAATCTTATATTTTCATCTACCTCGTCTTCTACAGCCCATGACACTTCATCAAAGAGCGCATCATAAAGAGGTGGCAAAAGCTGGGGAGGAAGATTAACCACTCGTTGTGACACCAAGAGACCAACATCCCGTGCTCTCTTGCTGAATAGTAATCTCAACTGCTCCACAAGGTTACTCTCGTGGCATACACTGAGAATATACTCCTCTAGCTCCTTCATACATTTATGGTCCTGCCATAACCAAGATCCCTTATAAGAGCAAGAAAGTACCGCAAAGAATCCCCTTTTCAAGTAATACCATTGAATTTACTACATCATCCCTATTCAATGAATCTGCATTCTCGATGTAACCAACATTACGAGAGACCTTGATAGGGGTTAAAGAGTTAATCAGATGACTAAGAATCTTAACTCCTATCACAATTCACCACAGTAAGAACGACAGAAGAGTCTCCTGATGAGTAGAGGAACCAATTCGAGAGCTAGCTGCATATAGATATCACTTGCCTTGTATCTCCCCAAGTTTAAGGCTGTCACTACTGAGAAAAGCCCGTCATCGTCCTCATCCTCCAGTTTAACCACTGTCCCAACTGTAGTCTGTTCAAGTATCAAATCTACAAAACCACTCAAATTCCACTCCTCGTTATCAAGAAAAGTTTGAACTAAGGTCTTCACTCCATGAAAGTCGTCTGGTTTTGGATCAAAGAAGGCGAAATCCGCTTGCACAACCCCCTTCAAAAATTTAATCAAAACTCATTATATAACGTAATACCAACTGAGCAAGGAGCAAAGCAATCACAATTTCCAGCATTCGCATTTTCCTTACTTCAGAACTTTCTTCATCGGAATCGCTGTCTGTCTCATCGATGTTTCTCTGACCGCAACACTTGCCATCTGAGAAACAAGAACAACAAGCGCTGCAGCAGATAAGAACCATAACTACATGGGGAATGAAAAGTTTTTTTTTTTATGAATTAGGGAATGAAAAGTTTAACAAGGTAAATATGAGATTTTGTACTTGGAGTATGTTGACACGATTCATGGAGTTTGTTCTCGATCATTTGACGCTTAATCATGTAAGCTGACGCAAGGTGAGCAGCTGAGCGCGCAAATGGGGAGAATGTAACTGGCCTAGCTACCAATTTCCGGCGAGGCCTCTTCACGTTTGGTGTCATTGCTACTCAATCCCACTGGAAATTTCAAACACACCCGTCGAGAATCACTACACCTGAGTGTGTTGTTTAATAACAAAGTTTGCAACTTGGAGGTGAACAATGAAAGGAGAGAACAAACCATCGAATGTCAATCAAAAAGCAATTTTGCAGGACATTGGCAGAACAAACTCATGAGAACGGGGCTTCAAGTACAATTATGAAGATGTTGAGCGCTTACCCAGGAGACTAGTCACTTCTCAGGACGCAGTCACGGAGTCGCCGTCAGTCTGTCCGCCGCCTCGGTCGTTGCCCTTTCTGATCAACGGCGGAAGCGAGGAAGGGTGAGAAACAGTTCGAAAATTATCGTGGGAGAAAGCTGAAAAGACAAGAGCAGTAAAGCTTACCGGAAACTCAAGCTGTCCTCCTGCTGCCGCTGTCCGTTCGCCGGATTTTGCTAGTTGCTACAGAGCGCCGGCGGGAACAAGATCAAGGAAAGGAAGAAGGGTTTTGCGGCAACGAGGTGTCGTTACTCGTTCCAAAGGAGAAGCAGCACACCAAAAAATTTGTTGTTGGATAGTTGAAAATGGGCCGTGCGTAATTCGAGATATGGGCCGATTTCATCAGAAAGCCCAAGTAGATCCCACTTGAAGAGTTGGCGGGCCCGATTGAATTGTGAGCCACTGAGCCGCCAGTCACGTCACGTGAGGAAGCAGAAAGACGGGGGTATGAATTAGGGCCACGTGTCTCGGAGTAAAGGCGTCGATCGTGATCGTTCCAGCACCTACACGTCATTCTAGCTTTTCCCGTCCTTTCACCTTCCGTTCTTCTCCCACCTACAGGCTTCCGTCGAAACTTGCGAGTTGCGAACCAAAAAAAAGGCGCAAAAAAAGCAGAAGAGCCCAGAAGAAGAAGAAGGAGTAGAATCCAGGCAATCCGCCAGTAGCGCAAATCAGCAACATCCGGAAAGTAGGAAAGATCCTTCCCCCTCGGCATAATTTTCCTCCACTCTCCGCCATCGTAGCCGCCGTGGTTCTGCCACTCTCCGACGATCGCCCTCTTTGGCTCCGTCGTATCATGGTCACTGTGGTTCCTACGGGGAATCGGGATTCAGACTGTTGTGCAAGATTTCCTACGGTGTTCGTTCTTCTTTCTAGTTGTCGATCGCTGTGAATAGTTTGTAAAGAGGTAGTTGTGTATCTGTATATGTAGTTGGTTTGATTGGTTTCGATTAGGGTTTTCTGTTGCTGGAATTTGGGCAAGAAGTGGTGATTTGATTGTGTTAATATGATAATTGAGGAAGTGAAGGGAGACGAGTTGGGTGTAGTTGATAGAATTTCGGAGAAGGATCGAATTGGTGGTGATGGAGACTTGGTCGTCTGGGACTCGAAGCGGGTCTTGATCGGAGCGGGCGCCAGGGCTTTGTTTTATCCTACTTTGCTTTACAACGTCGTTAGGAACAAGTGTCAGGCTGACTTCCGGTGGTGGGATCGGGTGGACGAGGTATGATCTGTAGCTCGTGAATGTGTCTTACTATTGATTGAAATCTGAACTATTTCGGCTTTGGGTTAGTGGAAATGAATTTTATTTGTAGCATTATTGAGATAATTTTCTGAGTAGTGTACAGATCACTAGCTAACTTTTGGAGTTTTTGTTTCTTGTGGATAGCCTTCTGATTGTGCACTATTATGCTTACATTCTGCATACCGCCATTGGCAGGATACGGTGGTATGATGCTTCTAGTTAGGGTAGATTCTAGTGCGAATGTCTTCCTTTCATTAACTGAGATGGTGTCAGTTTGGTGCTTACATCAATGCAGTTTCATGATGATTGCATTCTTGTTTCTGAAACATACTCCTGCAGTTTATTTTGTTAGGTGCTGTTCCATTTCCTACTGATGTTCCGTGCCTCAAGGAGCTTGGTGTTCGGGGAGTAGTTACCATGAACGAGCCATATGAGACATTGGTTCCTACATCTCTGTATTACGTGAGTACTTCTTTATTTGTTTGGTTCTATGAGTATCTCTTTACATTTCCACCATGCTCCCATTTCCTATGTTTTGAGACAGTTTTATGTCGCTGGAATTTAATTGTTGTATTACTCTGTTGGAATTGCTCTTTCAGTATTAGGGAACTGTATTAGGGAACTCAGAAGCACATTATTATTTTCTGAATCCATGGAAATTCTTGCAGGAATATGGCATTGACCATCTAGTACTCCCTACTAGGGACTACTGCTTTGCACCTTCCTTGCGAGACATATCCCGGGCTGTAGAGTTCATTCACGGTATCTATCTAGTTGTTTTGTTATCTTGTGTTTACTATGTCATAAAATAAATGTGCAGAGTTGAGAAATGTTTGATGTAGATGTTTACGAATCATATTTTTCTCATCGTGTAGACAATGTGATGCGAGGGGAAACGACCTATGTCCATTGTAAAGCTGGTCGAGGACGCAGCACCACAGTTGTGTTATGCTACCTTGTTAGTACACTGAATGACTCAACTTATTATTTTGGTTCACCGGAGTGGGTTAAAACAGACGCACAGTAAAAAGGAAGAGAGTTCATTTGCCTCTTCAGAAGTGTTGTGTAGCAAGGCACGAGAGAGATGAGAGAAACTAGAGATCTTGTTTTGGCATCTCTCTGAATTTCTTATTTAACTGCACGCAGGTACAGCACAAGCATATGACACCTGATGCTGCCTACAAATATGTAAAGTCCATCAGACCAAGGGTGCTTCTTGCTCCCGCCCAACGGCAGGTATTCATTTAGCATTTTACTCTTCTTTGGATGTGTTCGTTTTAGCTTTCAAGCCAACTTATTTTGTACATAGATAAGCCCATTATCCATGTCTGCACCATTTGATCTTGGAAACTTCTAATTGCAGGCTGTTCAAGAATTCTATCACCTTCACATGAATACCCACAGCCTCTACGGCAGTTTGAGAAGTCTCATATTAAAGGCCCCAAGGCAGAGTCTGGATCTCTTCCTCTCAAAGGATCTCGTGAAATTCGATGACAGCTCGGTAGTTCTTGTTACGGAGTCAGATCTCGATGGATATGACCCAAGGCTTGTATCCACTCCAATGAAGAGCGAGGTATGGGCCGACTTGAGTGTGGTTTACGGGGTACGGGTTGCTGGGCAGGCAGTACTCGCAAGGATCTCCTGTATGTGGCTCCGTTGTGGAGCTCACCACCAGAAGTTTGTTGGCGAGGAGCAACTGAGCAGGAAGAGCAGCTGCTCGATCAGCAGGGATCAATTGGGAGGTATTAGTGTCGACATTCACGTCTATTAAGGCGCCGGTGGAGTTTGCATTAAAGGGTAGTCTGATAAGCTTTGCTTGTTATTTCTTGTGAATCCCGTGATGTCGTTTCTTGTCGTTGGTATATAAGTACGATGATGAATAACGTTTGCTTTGAACCAAGACTTGGGTTTTTCGCCACCAGCTGTAAATATTGAGTGGTCTGCCTGATGAATCCATTAAGTTCCGAGTATAGAACGGTTAGTGGGGTAATAGCGAAATCGTGTATTACTGCAATTATCCTGTGATAAAATCAAATAAGATTGCATGATCATCAGTTAAATCATAGATAACTGATAAGATTGTTTCGGATAATATAAAGAGTATCAGATTGCAAAATGGTGCATCAGTGTTATAAGATTGTATAAGATCGATAATAAGTTAAATCGGTATATTGCAGTAATAAACAAGAAATAAATTTGTGTCAGGTTGATACTCAACGAAATTGCTAACTAATATCGATATTGTTGATACTTGACGTAACAAATTTTTTTTACCATATTGTGTCCATGGTATTCACCAATAAAAAGCTGATTATTTTTTGTTTGTTTGTTAATAGTATTACTCACTCACTTACCCAACTCACCTACTATCCTAAATTCTAACGGAACAAAATATTGACTAAATACAAGTAAAACCTGCAAAAAAAATGATGGGCAAGGACGGGTTTAATTTTAGCCATGGTTCAAAAAGGCACACTTAACATTACGTTTAGGCACGTCTAGGCGCAAGGCAATGACAAAACACATTGCCTAGGGGTTTCGCATCTAGTTAGATACTGGAATATGTCAATGGAGTAAGGCAACATCTAAAACTCTCATAAACATAACTAGATGGATCTATGAAGTTAATATTAAAAGAGGAAATTAACGTCGACTATGAAATCAATTTACTATATCAATAGCTCAAGAACTTTGTGAGCTATTACGTTATGATTCTATGAATTAGTGAGCTATGTTCTTATCATTAAGTGTTGAGTAAGTTATTAATCATTTTAAATGAAGTGAGGAAGCGTTGTAGATTATTATTTCATTCATCATGTAGTGTGAATAACTATTTTTCTTCCAACGCTTAGGCACGTTTAGTCTACGCCTAGGCGAACTAGGTGCTAGGCAAAATCTCAACGCCTGCTTTACGTCTAGCGCCTTCTTGAACCTTGATTTTAGTCCATGCCCAAATCTGTCCCGTTAAAGGTATTTAGGGGTCGTTTGGGTGTGGAAATTTGAAAACGTGGGAATTTGTATGAATTTCCATGTTTTACAAAACCAAGGAATTGACTTATGGAAATTGAACAAAATTCCACGTTTGGATAGGGTTTAGTTTTGTGGGAATTGATGGTGTGGAATTTGGTAAAAATACAAAAATGCCCTCTTTTGTTTATATACATATACCCCTCCTAAAGGTTGTTATTGTATTATACTAACTACTAATTGTTGCTAACTTAAGCATAGTTAGAAAAATATGATATGGAAAAGTTACGTATAAAATACGTACAATTATTTTACTTCATCTCTAAGCTAATATTACATTTAATAGTACATTAAAAGCCATAAATATATAAACTTAATTATTTGAATAATAAGTACATATATAAATTATAATAAAGTTAACAATTTAATTCATTAAATACGGATATTAAAAGTGTTTATGCGAATTCAATGAGGAGAAGCAAGAAAATTGACGGTGAATGAGATAATTAAGCGAATCCAAAATTAAGAAATTGACGACGGATTAGAGGAGATATACGAAGGTGAAGGGAGATGAAGAAGAAGAGGTGTCATTGATGAATGAAGAAAAAGGAGCTACTATTGTAAGAAATAGTTAGGCGAAATCGGAGGAGTAAGGAAGAAAGGAGAGGAAGGACATAAGGACACATTTGGAAATAGAAGGAAGAAAACGTGATAATGTCAAATTACTAGGGGGAGATGTAGTATTCTCAATTACAATGAATGTGGTAATCGGAGCCAATTTCCATGGTCCAATTCTCATACCCTTTTTGCTCTGCCAAACGTGGGTTTTTAACCCAATTACTGCATTATGTGGTAATTGAGTCCAATTACTGCATTACATTTCCACATCCAAACGACCTACTATTTCCTCACATGCAAAAAAAATATAAGGAGCTTAATGTAAATTTTCAAACAAAGTCCGGCAGCGCCAAATGCACGGTTCGGCCGTCGTCAGCGCTGGTAGCTCGACGTTCCTCTCCAAGAAGCATCAATGCCTCGCACTGCTCAAGCTCTGCTCTTCAATCAAACACCTCTATCAGCTCCATGCCCAAATCCAAATCTGCGGACTCCAGAGCGACTCCTTTCTAGCGACGGAACTAATCCGGGTATGTTCACTCTCTTCTCGGAAAAATCTGAATCACGCACGAACCATCCTCAGCCGATTGGCTAACCCACCTCCAGCGGCTTGGAATCTCCTCATTCGTGGTTATTCCTCCAGCGACGACCCTAGAGGAACCATACTCCTCTTCCGCCAGATGCTCAGAGGAGGGATCACCCCCAATAACCTCACTTTCCCATTCGTTCTCAACGCCTGCGCTTCTTCTTCTTCCTCTTCTTGCTCGGCGGTGATCAAAGAAGGGGAACAGGTCCACGCCCACGTCGCGAAATCTGGGTTGGACTGCTCTGATGTCTACGTAGGGAACAATTTGATCCATTTCTATGGCTCCTGCAAAAGGGTATCTCGTGCTCGCAAGGTGTTTGACAAAATGCCCGAGAGGAGTGTAGTGTCGTGGAATGCTGTGATCACTGCCTGCGTTGGGTGCTCGAGTACAGAGGACGCAATTCGGTACTTTAGGGAAATGAAAGGTTCCGGGTTTGAACCTGATGAGGCGACGATGGTGGTCATGCTTTCACTCTGCGCCGAGGTGGGAAACTTGCGGCTAGGCAAATTGATTCATTCTCAAGTGATCGAGCAAGGAATGGAATTGACTCACCAGCTGGGCACAGCCCTCGTCGACATGTACTCAAAAGCAGGGAACTTGGTTTACGCCATGTCTATCTTTGAATCCATGAAGGAGAAAAGGAGAAATGCTTGGACTTGGAGTGCAATGATCTTAGGGCTAGCTCAACATGGCTTCGCCAAGCAAGCCCTCCTGCTCTTCCGTCGAATGATCTCTTCCACCTCCTCATCGATCCAACCCAATTATGTCACCTTCCTTGGAGTCCTCTCTGCCTGCAGCCACGCGGGTTTGGTCCAAGAAGGGTTCAACTACTTCCATGAGATGCAACATAAATACGGGATCAAACCCACTGCAGTTCACTACGGCGCTATGGTGGATATACTAGCCCGTGCAGGTTACTTGAAGGAGGCGTATGAGTTTGCCTCGAGCATGCCTTGCCGGAGGGACCCTATAGTTTGGAGGACTCTGCTCGGTGCTTGCCGTGGTAGGAACTGTGGTGGTAGTGATGGTGAATTGGTGGAGGAGGTGAGGAGGCGGCTGCTGGAGCTTGAGCCTAGGAGGAGTGGGAATCTGGTGATGGTGGCGAATCTGTATGCAGGTGCTGGGATGTGGGAGAGAGTTGAGGATGTTAGGAAGGGGATGAGAGATGGGGGGTTGAAGACTAGAGGCGGGGAGAGTTGGATTGAGTTGGGTGGTTCAGTTCATCAATTCTTCTCTGGTTGTGGTCTGGAGGAGTGGGCAGAAGAGATGAACCGGGTACTGATTGGGTTGGATCTTCATGTTAGGATGGTACATTTCGATTGAAGGGAAGTATGGCTGTTATCTTTGTAGAACGAAGAACAATGTTTTCGTTCCTTGGCTAACAAGTAACCACCACTTAGGACACCTGACGCTGCCTGTCAATCAGACCAGTAGTGGCTTCTTGCACCCGCCCAACGACAGGTATTCATTTTGCTCATGTTAATGTGGATGTGCTCTTTTTAGCATTCAAATCCACTTCTCTTTGTAGCCAAAAATAAACACATTCCTTATATCGGCAACATTTGATTTTGGAAATTTGCAATTGCAGGCTGTTCTAGAATTCTATCACCTTCACGTAAAAACTTACAGCCTCTACAGCAGTTTGAGAAGTATTATATTGAAGGCACCAAGGCAAAGTCTGGATCTCATCCTCTCGAAGGATCTCGTGAAATTCGACGATTGCTCGGTAGTTCTACAGAATCAGATCTCGATGGATGTGACCCAAGCATTGTATTGAGTCCAACGAAGAGCGAGATATTTTTTTTTCCAAAAGATATCATATATTAATTCAATAAAAAAGATAGTTACATCCTGGATAGCAGCCAGACCCTGAAATCAAAGAAACAATTTACAATCGGGTACAAAGAGAGGGCTTTTCTAGCTACCGAATGAGCTACTCTATTGATCTCCCGACCTACAAACCGCACACTAAACCCTGGATGGGCACGAAAATACTGACAAATCTCTTCCAGGACTGTCTCCAAGCGACTGTCGCTCGTGTTGGCCCGATTAATCTTATCAATAATGACCTTCGCATCACCCTCGAACCTGACTTCGGACAACTCCACTACCAATGGCTCATCAATTTGCGCAAATTGCACACCTTTAGCCCTAAGTAGCGTCCACCTCGGGTCAAAAAGAACCATCCCCCAGCCGAATGGGACCCCCTCCTAATGGCCCCATCCCACATGCAAACCAGGCGAGACTCAACCACTTGGGGCCCTGGTTGAACCACCGGGCAGGATATCCTCGTCGTCTGGTCAACCGGCAGACCCACCCATTCCTCGTACTGTTGGTGAAATTGGCGCATTAAAGTCGGAATCCCAAACTGTTTGCCTTCAAAGACAACCCGGTTCCGCGATCGCCAGATCCGCCAAAGGATGACAACCACAGCCATAAACAGTGACGGGTGATGGACAAGGGCGAGCAGCCTCTTAAGAAACAACGGAAACGTGTGCCGAGGCAAACCCTCCCCTAAGTATTCCAATCCCGAGTAGTCCCATAGAGCCCGCGCGACCGGACAGTAAAGAAACATGTGCTCCAAAGTCTCGGGACCATCCCAGCATACCGGACACCGGGGCAACACAGGAACCTTCTTTTCAATGAGAGCCTCCGTGGTTGGCAGAGCCCGATGAAGAATTTGCCAGACAAAGACTTTCGGCTTAGGAGGAATCTTGGCATCCCACAGCCGGATCCAGCTTTGCCTATCCATCCAACTAACAGAGTCCCGCCACCCACCCTCGAAGAGCGAGATATTGACCAACTAGAGTGTGGTGGTTTATGGGGTACGAGTTGCTCGGCAGGATAATGTAACAAATATCTGATTGCGAAATCATATATTACTATAATACCCGTGGTAGAATAAGCTTGTATCGAATTGTTCATCAACGAAATTGCATATTACCGTAGTACCCGTGGTAGAATAATCAATAATATAGTGAATGTCATATTAATATCGATGCTTCATGTAACAATGTTTATTTTCCCAAACGGTTGATATTAGGTTTATGGTATATATAAGAATATAACATACCAAAGACTTTATAGACATGATTCGATAGGAAACAAAAAGTCGCAACATGCAAGTTTTTTCTTAAGTTCAATACCTGTAATCCATATAACGGAAATAAATTACTATGTACATAATAATCGATATTTTTCTCGAAATTTATTATCTACAATCCACAATGGGAATGAATTGGGTAGAAAATAACAGTAAGTTTGAGTTTGCTGTAACGAGTTTAAGTGCTACACTAAACGTGATGGCAATAACAAAGATCACAAATGCAAGTATTGGTTCCTATCAGTCCCCTGAGGAAGCTTTAGACAGGTGAGTGCCAACCATTAGATGGCGATCCATCTAGCATCCTTCTTGAAGTTGATACTGATGGTCGTTGTTTATTATCTACCAAGTAAGGAACGATGAACGTCTTCATGTCGCTCTCTGAGATCCCCAGATGTCCCCCTGAGACATTCACAAAGTGAACTCTACCTGCCTCGTCCAGTTTTCTCAGCCCGATCCAGTCCTCAATGTACAGTTTAGTCTGCAAAACAACCAGCATAAAGCCAGTTTCAGTACCCAGAAACGTTTGCTACCAATTGAGTGCAGATACGTACTTCTTGTGGGGGCAAAACTGGCTCGAATTCTCCATCTGGGTAGTACCCAAACCAAGAGGTTTCTCTCGGGATCACAACCTTGTCATCATCAAACTGGGGTCATAATGGAGAGAAACAAGGAAAAGTTAGCAGACCTACAATTGGAACTGCGAGAAAGGATTGGGACAAGGTAGACAGGATTACAGGAACTTACCATGACGAGCACCAATTTCTCGAGGCTACTGAACCTCTCCTTGAACGTGGAATTCCTCCTGTCCGGAATTTCATTGTTCAGCTTGGGAAGGAATTGGCAGTTCTCCAAGTAGCTCGAGATAGCCTGGGAGAATCAGTAGTATGTTATGCTATCATCTTATAGCCTGAGAGGACAACTACTACTTTCTTGAGTGTCAAACAAACTCACATTAGGCAGTTTGAGGTAGCCACTTGGAGCCAGGTGCTCCTGCATTATTTCCAAATTCTATGGAGTTCAATTGCAGTTACTTAAATGTGATTTGACTCATTTAATATAAGGATAACAACTTACCTGTACGAAATCGCTATAGACCTCTGATTTGATTAGCTTGTCTGCTATAATGCAAAGGAACCCACTCTGCCAAAAAGTCATAACCAAAGAGAGCTTAAAATTCATTAAATTAATTTTTATTTGATGGATGGAGTCTGTGAAAGCTAAGGCAGTATTGAAAACTTACACCACAGAGAGGCACAGAAGCTGTGCCAGCATGAGGCCCAGCTAGTGAGATAAAGTTCTTGACCTGTTGGTGCAATGAACAGAATCAGAGCCGCTAAATGAGGAAGAGTGGACTAAGTTGGAGAAAAGTGTGAAGCTTTACTCACAGGAGGAGCACCATCACAGAACTCTAGCACCCCTCGACCAATCAAGTTGCCCTGCATAAAACAAACCAACAGTTCAAGCTACGAACTACTCTCATGTGCACTTTTAACAATTATGAGTTATGCAATTTTGTTATATATGAGAGAATGGAAATACTCGCCTGGGAAAGACCAACTATGTTGAAACCGTTACTCAGTTCTTTCATTTCCTTCACCTAATATAACTCTTCCATAAGCTCACATTCTGAGGAAAACTGTAAAACTGACTATAGTATACCCTCCCAGGACCCAGATCCCACCTCACCTTTTCGCAGACGATATTCGTCTGCAAGAACATAATAGCATGACATCAGACACCATTTGCATGCTCGTTTGTGAAAGGTTTAATGGCATTTGTAGTCCTTGTATTATGTTGTTTTCACCAAAGAATGGGTTTCCAACATAAGTATCATTGTGCGTTATCAAGGGCGAGCTTATTAGTAACGGATTAGGAGATCTATCGTGAAAGACTTTAAACGAATAAATGATACATTATATGGAAATATTTGTTTAAAGCTGCAAGTGCATTAGACATTTAGCAAGATAGTAATTGCAGTCTTTAATTCTAAGTCTTAACCTGCTCCTCAAGAGGCAAAAACCATGAATCCCATACTCCATTCCCAACTTCGCTGCAGAAACAATGGTAACAAACGAATTGCCACATCAATTAAGACCATTTGAACATTTTGCTTCTGCAAGTCTAAATCAAGGCTAAAAACCAATAGGGGAACTCCAGTTCATTCTATGCTTACAGAGAAAGTAAACAATTTATGCAAAACCAGTAAAAGTAAGTTTGTGGGATGTGTTCGCAATGATCTGAAACATACAGACAATGTCCTGAAGAACCAGAGAAGGCGATCAGTTGGTCGGTGAAGCTCTTCACTCCTTTACTCTTGCACTCATCTGCAATACCTGTCAAGCTAGCAGGATTAAGATTCAAATAACCCGACAAATGAGGAAAATAAATTCCAGCATAAGGGTTCCTTAATTTGCACTCAAAAGTTCCTTTCATTCCCCACCATCCATATAGTACACGATCCTGTTTCTCCCATTTCCAGGGAGGAAGCCACCTTTATGCAACTAACTAGTCAAAATTATTTGAAACATAAATTTCCTATTGAGCCCACAAAATACAGAATCCCGGTTTGCCTTCTAGTTAAGTAATTGATTTCTACCATTAAAATCAGTTTCACTTTATCCCTTTACAATCACCATCAACAAATCACAAACACAAAGCACTCTACCACTGAAGCTATATGCAACCCTCTTTCTCTTTTTGGTTAAACACAGAAACATGCTTCTGCCTGCTTCATCTCATGAAAGCATATTTCATACAAGTGGGATTCCCTAATAGGAAGAACCCATTTCAACAGAGGACCAAAGTTTCACAATAGCAGCTAATGAAATAGAAAACATGGGCAAAAGGCATGAAAAGGAAAGAACAAAAAGAAAGCCCATGGAATGAATAACTTTTACCATGGAGTACGATAAAGGGTAAAGAGGAATAAGCAGCAGGTGGTGGGGAGAAGATTAAAAGGGTTAGGAAAACAACAAGTGGGAAGTGAGACGAAGCCATCGGAGATCTTTTTCTCCCCTTTTCTGGGTTCTTTTGCCGGCGGGAAATAAGGCAATTAACTCCGGGAAACAGATGGCGGGCGAGGTATGGCGGGAAAGCAAATGAAGGGCGGCGGCGATTTGCGGTTTTCTACGGGTAGAAATCAAGGCGGCCGGCCATTCATCATTTCATCGATCGATGATCGATATTGGCAATCGATTCGATGATGGGTTGGGCAGAGTTTCTGCTGTCACTGCAAGTTTTTGCTTTTGCTTTTCCTCGGCTTGTGTATGTATAAGAACGGCGTGGGGTAGTTACTTCTTACTTGTTTATTGACGCCTGGTTGGTTGGGAGGGTTGGTAGTTACCCAATTAATTAGAAACATATACGGTACACGAAACTTCTGAATTAAACGCAATAGCAGTGGAGAATGTTGCTATTACTTAAAAAACAAATTATCAGTTGTTGATTAGATTAGATTGTTTAGAGAAAGTAGAATATATATCTTTTTAATATTTGTAATTTGTATTTCTTCAAGTATATTGAAACTGTTATTTTTTGTTCTTTGACGTGGCTCACATACATCATGTTAGTGAACCGTGTAAATTTTTATATTTTTTACTCCTCAATCGGGTCTAACAGACAAGTCTTCAATGGGAGAGTTGACAATATGCTTTGCACATTACTGGTTGAAGTGGAAATGAAACCGTTACTTGAATCCCTGAAACTTGCACAAGAATTGTTAATCCCTGTTAAAACACGAGCAAATTGTTTGGTCTTGGTCAAACCCCTCTTCAATCTCCCATCCCTGTGGCTTGAAGGTGTTCAGCCTGGATTGGTACAATGGTCGATATCCTGAAGACGAATCCAATAATCAAGGTTGAGTTCTTTAGAAAGAAGTTGATAGAGCAAATTGGATAGCCAGATTACTCACTCATGATTTCGTCCCGAATGATCGAATTGTCATTCTTGACTTGCTTTTCAGATTTCTTCCTATGACCTATCTTACCCATATACTTGGATATGCAATATAAGCGGCACCCTGTTAGTAAAAATGCAATAGCACAACAATCCATTTCTCTTTTCAATGCTTTTGAAAAAAATTAGAATCCAATGCCAAATACTTGGGGGTTAAATACGTTCTTTCGTGTGAAAAAATAATTTTTAGGTAAACAATACCAATTTGATCATCAAAGTAAGTTTGTATGCATATATCATATTAAGCACCGAACTCAACATTTTTTGTTACATTATTGAACAATTGCAAAGTTATGTTTTGATGCGAGGGAGTCAAGTTGCATATTAGAATTAACAATACATGTAAACTTCTACAAATTTTGGAAGTTAGAAAAGTTGGTAAGTCATTGATCACATATGCTTGATTATTCGCTGCTCCTCTCACTCAAATTTCTAACTTCGCAGCTAATTATAAACGGTAATCTTTCATTAGGGATATGATAAACACAAATTAGTTACATATACCTTTTATACATAATAATGAAAGAGGATCACTGTGATCTCTGATTATTGTATTCTCTTCCTAATTGCTACACATGTTCATAATTGCAATTTTCTTGACATAATGGCAGGAGTGACTTCAAGGGAAGGGGAAATCTTCAAACATTAACTATTGCCATCATCATCATCATAGTAAGAATCAAATGGTCCCCAGTTCTTGCTGAACCATGAAAAATCACTGCAAACAATCAATGTTCTTCCTTCCAGTTGCTTTTTTCTGCTTCTTCTCCCCCAAAGTTGATGATGTTGGTGTCAGTCAGGTATTGAATCTTGGGGGGATGTTTTGCATTGAATTAGTGAGCAGCAGCAGGAAGCAAGTGAGGGATCACATATTGCTTGAGGTCACTGTCTGAAATCCCAAGGTGGCCTCCTGGCACTTTCACAAATTGTACTCTTCCTTCCTCATTCATCTGCTTCAGCCCTATCCAGTCCTCTTGGTACAGCCTCGTCTGCACCGAAAACACACATTGAAATAATTAGACTCGAGTTTGTGGTCTTCGACACCCAAATGGATATACTAATATCAGTAACTTAGTATGATTTCACAAACACTACGAAAATCATCCATTTATGCTTTATTTTTTTCGCTTTAGTTTTTTCCCCCAATTTTGACTTACCTGTTGCACCGGTAAAACTGGGCTGAACTCTCCGTCGGGATAAAATCCGAACCAGGCAGTCTCCTTAGGCACAATCACTTCATCTTCCTCAAACTGTTGAAAATTTGCATAAAACACTTAAAAGTTACAATGTATCAGAGGGGGAATTTTCTTTCACCATTTGCCCCTCATTGTTTTACTCACTTACCATTATAAGCACCAAATTCTTCAAGCTCCTGAATCTCTGCTTGAATGTTGGGTTCCTAGCTTCAGGATGTTCATTGTTGAGTTGTGGGAGGAACTTGGATTTGCTCAAGTAAGCAGACATATCCTAACAATTTTCAAAAAACATATAAATCATCCACTAATCCTACATAAAATTTGAAGGAAGGAAAATCACATGGATTATAATACTAATAAGCTTACATCAGGCAACTTCAGGTACCCACTTGGCGCCAAGTGATCCTGCAGCCACAATAGAGAAAAAAATTTAATTCATCTCGTTAATTAATTCGAATTGCACATATTCTTGGGGGTCGTTTGGAAGTTGCGATTGTTAAATAAATGTATTGTTGAGAATGCATGTATAATATTATACATGTATTGTCGAATTTGATGCATTGTAGAATACAACGTTTGGTATGTGTGATTGTGTATGTCGCATCAGCTAAAAGCTGAGACAAAACAATCTCAACTAAAAGTTGAGATATAACAATCACTCAAAATGAGTGATAGTTTCTGTCACATCACAGAAACAATCCATGTATTGTTTCTGCTAAAAAAACAAAAAAACAATGCATTGTAAACAATACATGCATAATGACAATCTCAACAAAACTATCGCAACTTCCAAACGAACCCTAAATTCTTGTAAATTCATATACCTGAACAAAATCAGTATAAATGCCCGCCTTGATGAGTTCATCAGCTACTTCGCACCATGTCCCATTCTGCAACACGTCCATAATTAATATAACAATACTCAACAGAAGTGTATTTCGCGGAAATCACAATGTTTTTAATTGACGGGTAATTGCAGTAATTAGTATTTACTAATTACTTACGCCACACATGGGAACGGAAGCAATTCCTGCGTGAGGTCCAGCCAACGAAATGTAGTTCATCACCTGGAATGCATTTTATTAGGCTTTTGCGTACAAGCTAATGAAATAATTGATCTGATTAATCAATTCATAATCTTGCGTTAACGGAAGGATTAAGGATTCTAATTAACTTACGGGAGGACCATCTTCACAGAACTCTATCACGGCTCGACTGACTAAGTTGCCCTGTTTCATAGTTTTAATTAATTAATTAATGTCACGCAAACATTTTGTTGTCATCATTATTATAATCATAATAATAAGTACAAACAAACACGTTTTATTAAAATAGTATTAACAGAGTGAGCCAGAAACCTGGGAGAGTCCAACTATGTTGTAACCGTTGCTGAGCTCATCGATCGTCTTCACCTGCCAAATTTCCAAATCATTAAGACCATAAGATTTGTGTTAATGATGATTAAGCCCATGGGAAAGAGAGAAAAGAAGCCAGCGGTCTTCCTACATTGTTGCAAACCATCTCTGCCTGCAAAAAAAAAAGAGTATAAGAAAGAAGGGTAAGATTATTAAGTAATAACATTCGACATTTTCTTAATACGAAACGATTGTTGGTCACAAAGTTCGAACTCGACGCTAAATCGAATGTTGGCCACAGGCAAATGAGGGTTTCTCACCTGCTTCTTCATGGGCACGAACCAAGAATCCCAGTACCCATTTCCAACTTCCCTGCATTGTTATGTTCAAAAGTTTAAAGCTTGGCTAGAGAAAAAGAAAAAGAAGGGTAAAACAGGGGAGATTTGGAATCCTAGTGATGAAAAACAGGGAGTACACTCACAGGCAGAAACCAGGTGAGCCAGAGAGATTGGCCACCATTTGAGTGAAATGACTCACTTTCCCACTCTTACACTCATCTCCAATCCCTGCCCACACAGCACAGAAACTGTTAGTTTGTGAGGGAAAAAAAACAGAACTAAAACTTTCTGCTGCCAAATGCCAATGACCCAAATGTGGGAAAGGAATATACTTTAGGGCCAAAAAGGAAGAACATACCATGTAGAACAATAAAGGGAATGGAACTAGCAAGTGGGAGGAGAGAAAGTAGAGTTGCAGCAGAAATGGTGATGATGAATAGGAGCCCAACAGATGAGGGTGTTGCAGAGAAAGGACCCATGGTGATGAGGGAATCTGAAAGCTTTTTTTTTCTTTTTGCTTTATGGGGTTATTAAGAGCAATTGTAAGTTAATTTTGTTTCATTTGGAGGGATTTATATAAAGGAGAAGGAGAAGTTCCAGTTGGGCTATGGAGATTTTGCATTGGTGGTGGTGGTGGGAATATGAGTTAGCCTGGGATAGGAAATGGGAGGAAGGAGAGGGGGAATTTATTGGGCCAGCCAATTGCTTGGGGCAAATTAAATGTCAATCTGCAGGTCCCTTCTGACATTTTTTCTGGATTATTTACATCAATGGTCACTAAACTTTGGGGTCATAATGAAATGAGTCACTACATTTTTATGTCTAGTGTACTTGTCACTGAATTTTGATATAACAATTAACAAACATAATGGTTCCTCCATCTTAGGAATGGGTAATATGTGATCAGGATGAGTAATGGGTGTGTATATAGTCAAATCTACTCAATTAAAATTCATCCATTATGTGAGTGGGTGTCCATCATTTTCTATGTGACCCACAAAATTTAGTGGTCTGGCAGGAAGTCATTGATTTGCAAAACCATCGAATATATTATTTTGCATACAATTTGTCTAATTTACCGCTTAAATTTTATTTCGATTATTTCAACAATATTATATCTATGAACGGAATGCCTGTTGTTTACAAATTAAATGGTTGGTGTTGAGTTATGCAATACATTATGCTTCATAGTTATTGATTTTCTTGAATTTTAGTTAGTTCGCTGGGAAGCTTTCGGATACATATATATATTTTTAAATTAACCCGCCAACATGATCTACCAGCATCCTCCACCCAATCCACCTATAGTTGTACAAATTCGCAAATGTGGTCATTTTTTCACCACCCGTAAAACTACATGTGTCAACTTTATATTTTTTTTTTATCACATTTTGCCTGCAAGTTGTTAAAATTTGAGTGTCAACTTAACCAAATTGATGATACAAAGATGAAGTTATAGACCATAATCAACAGACCTAAATGACCCATTTAAACGCATACTTAATCCAGATTACACCCATCACTCAAAATTTGGATGCTAAAGTCCAAAGTTCAGTGAGCAAATTCTTTATAACCCCAAACCATAATGACCAAACCTGTTATTTACTTGCATCTTTAACGAAGAATCATCAACTGTCTTTTTCCACGACTCTGTTTTTTGGGTTCCTTCCCTTCTGGGATTTGCATTCAGTTGGCTAGCTAGTCGGCAATAATACTAACCAACAACAACAGCAGCATAGGTGGTGGGATCCCATCAGAGACCGGCTTTTTTTCCCTTTTCTCCAGACTCCAGGTTTCTTCGTTTCCCACTTTTGATCGCTTTGTTGGGCTTATTTGGTTTCTATTCGGATTGGTCTAATCCTTCACACGCAAACGCAATGCTTATATTATAGACTATAGTAGTAGACTCCTATCCCATCATTTCTGGTTATATATCACAATCCAAACTCGATTTCTTGAATATGAACGATTCTACGGGTCAAGTTTGACGTTTTTTCAGTTGAGATCGATAATGCTGGTGATCAGTTAGTTGGCTGGTGCAATGAGACTGATGCCGACGATGATCAATAACAGAAGTCAGCTAACAACAACTAAAAATTATATATGGAAATTATGACATGCTAATGTAGGACTGCAATGATCTTTGCAGTTCCCACTTGTAGCGGTGCTAAATGATTCGGTTCGGTTAACTGCTAACCAATTTTATGGTTAGTGTTTGCCCATTAAACAAAAAAATGCATACAAAAAATCGAATAGATAAGGGTTTTATGACCTGCTAATGTAGGATTGCAATGATCTTTGCGGGTGGGGTGTTATGACATGTTGGGCTAAATTTGGCTGATTAGACACTTTTGTTAGCCACGTCAGCAAAAAATTGACGTTGTTAACTGAGACTAACGAAAGGTAACAACCAGTGGCCAAACTTGAAATAGCAACCAACCAATCCCATGGGAACTAAGCAAACCAAATATCAAAAGAAGCGAAGTTGACCTAATTTCGTGATCACGAACGAAATAAAATATTTTTAGTGGCAAACATAAAACTATTTAGTCATTCTAGTGTGAAAACTGACAACTTACCCCATAACACGGGTTTAGTTTTTCTATTGTATTTGTTACTAGTTCCAATACAAGTCATTTAATTACAATTGGGGCGGATATTATCCATGGGTATTCAAAAATCCCTTGTATGATTTTGAGATTGTCAACCTCCAGTGCATTAATATGAAGCGAGTATGAAGCGAGTATGGATTTGAGTGTTTGAATTTTGAAACTGGGGGTGTTTGAGGCAAATCCACCTCATTGCGATCATTCGGAACACACATTTCTTCTTAGTTTATTAAGTCACCTTCCTTGTTCTCACTAATACTACATAATCGTTTGGATGAAGTATTTGAGTGAGTTTTTTTAGTTCAAATAAATGAATAGCTCACATTGAGTATTTGCACCAAAATAATTCATTTGTCAGCATTTTACCGAAATGAGTTATGTTGACCGTTTATTTGAAATAACTCCGAACCCTATGTTATTTCGAAATAACTCATACTATCTCTATATTTTTGCCAAATACCACATGTGCATGATTCTACCAAACCATATACTTTAATCAAATTACCTATATAAAATAATATTGAAAATATGAATAATTAATAAATTATTTATCTATTTGACTCTACATATACCACATTAAAAATTAAATCAAACGACTTATAAAAGATTCATAAATTTTTTAAAATTTCCCCAAACGCACCAATAATGTGCCGATTGTATTGTTTTAACTCTAAAAAAAAAAAATAGAGAAGAAATTCCGACCAATACACTTCTTATTCTTCTTCCTTCGCTCCATCTCCTTGGGGGCCTAATCCAAAAACCGCGAAAACCCTCCCGCCACATATCGACATACGCTTCTCCTCCCGCCTTTTCCCTCTCTCAATCTACGGCCTGCAGGTGATTGCTTCTTCTTCTTCTTCTTCTTCCTCTCGAACTTGCCGGCCTCCCCTCTTCCATAAACCCCTCGGCTACCACTGCAATTTCGAATTTGTGGGCTGATACAGTTAGGGTTTCCGCCAAAATTGAGCTATAATGTTTCGCTTTGCCTTGAACCCGAATTCAGGAACACTTGGTGAGGGAATGGCAGCGACGGGAAGCAGCAGCAGAAGAAAGAATACATACGCCGAAGCTTCGAATCGGAAAACTCTCTCTCCAAGCACACTCCGAAGCCCTGCTTCCTCACTTTCCCTCAAATCAGTAAGCCGATTCTGTTCTTCTCAGGGAATTTTCCTCCCCCCGTTCCTTTCCGTCTGGTCTGCTTCTTTACTTGCTGTTTTGATTCTTGAACTGAATTGGCAGGTAACTATGAATAATTGGTGGCTCGTTCAGGCGGAAGGTAATGGGATTGCCGTCGAAGGTTTTGCTGCTAGACCGTAAGTACGAAAACTCAATTTCATTTGTGAATCAGCTCATTCAAATAGTTCGTAAGGGTTATAAAAATTGAATCTTGTACTATTCTTCATTTTGTGATCTCAAATGGAAGTTGTTTATGGGTTTGAAGTTTGGGTAGATCAACGGAATTTGTTCAGAAGTTGATAGCATTCCGAATACAAGAGTTTTTAATCAGAAGTTCAAATATTAAGCTGAGAACTAATCCATGCGGCCATGCCAATAACCAGTGATTTGGTGAATGTATCCTGTATTGTTCTTGTATATATCTTGGAAATCATTTCTAGTTATTCGTTAGAATCTGTTGATTACTATGTTTTGGGTGCCTCACCCACATACTTACAGGCTAGGAACTAGAGAATTCTGCTCGGCGCCTATAGTGGAGAGGCATGATTCCATCACTCTGGAGACTGCAGATGGAATCACTGTCATACTTGGTGGAATGATCAACAGATTGCGCACTCTACTGAATGGCTTCCCCGTTTCGGTAAAGTAGTGTTTACTATCATCAAGTTTATTGGATTCTCAGAGCTTTCCAATTCTTTATCAGCAGAGTGTTTCATTTTCCGCAGGTCTGTAACCTTTTCGTGCTGGGGTTCCCTCCTCACTGGGAAGAAGTCACAGCTCAGTTTTACTCTAGTGACAAAGAATGTTCAGCCACCAATCCTGGGATAACTCTGACGCCAGCAATGGTTGATGATCTATCAGTAATACAGCTTCGGGATGTCGTAATGAGCATCCCGGAAGGTTGTGAACATCAGTTTTGGGACGTATTACTGCAACAACGCAAAGATAATGGTGAAGGTCGTAGTAACAAGGGAGGCAGCCATGAAGAAGAGGGGGAGAAAGAGAAGGGCAAGTCGGAGATGGAAGGGGAAGTGCTTGTTACGCCGAGTAACAGAAGAGTGGTTCGAAGAGTTGGTGGTGTTGTGACGAGGAGTATGCAGAGGAAGAAGAAGGAGAAAGAGAATGTTGTGGAGGGAAGTGAAAGGTTGAAGTGTCCATCGAAGCTGGGTAGTGAAAGGAAACAGAAGGTTGCTGCTGCGGTTAAGAGTGGTAAGGCCAGCTAAATGGAGGCAAATTTCAGACTTGTAAATTCATGTGAGCGATTGGAATCTTCGTCTTATTTTGGTGGTTTGCTGTGAAATGCTACCAATGGAAAAATTAACAAAACTAAATGGGTAAAATCTAGTTTACTAATATGCTTTGATAGATTACATCTGTATCGAGTAGATGTTTTTTGTCACTCACCAAGCTAGCTTGACGGGTTATTCGATATAATCATTTGCACTAATCGAATCATTGTGAGGTTTGAATTATTTGGATCATCTTAGTTTGTTGGTGTCAGTTATATGCGATGTTATGGTATTTGGTCCCAGTTTAGACAACTTTCTCAATCGAACACTTGACACTTTATCAATGATTTTTAGTTGACTTAAGTAGTATCAATGATTTTTAGTTGACTTAAGTAGTAAATACTAAGATGCTAAAACTAAAATTGAGGTTGTTTAAATCTATCATAACCCTATGCCAAAAATTCTCAACATCTATCATATCACTGTCCTTCATAGAGAGGATAGTTTGATTATTGAATAAAAAGCAGGTTGATTGTCAAAAAAACTAATGTCCTTCATGGAGATGTAGATTAATGAAGAGAATATTATCTTATATTCAAAAGATTAATGAAGAAAATATTATCTTATATTCAAAACTCTTTGCTTGCACTAGATCTCAAGTCTCAACCAGTTATTGTTGTCCATCGGCTCGGGAGTGGGACGGTATAGGATTTCTAAATCAAGATGCTTATAACAATATATATTTTGTACCCTGTTGCTAACTTGTATGGTTGTTAGCTAGAGTATATTTTTTTTTGAGCTAATACCATTACAATATCCGATAATTAATTTTTTTTATTAATAATGTGTATGCTCTAAATCAAAGATTTCATTATTACTATTAATAACTAGCACGACGTGTCTACAAAGTACAAAACACAATGAACTTTTTAGTGTGTGAAACATATTATATTTGGAAAAATAACTTTTGCAAATTTAAACAGATTAATTTAGATTTGAAATTTATTATAAATAACGTTGTCTTTTTTTGTTAGGGAATCTGCAGTTTGCTAAATAGTGTCATATCTTATAAATAGCTCAAATCTGTATGATATAGATGGTAGACACACCAACCAGTAATATTCACTACATAAATCTGTAAATTTAATTTATCCTAAATATTTTAAAGACAACTGGATCACCAAATTCTAATTTAATTAAATTTGGATAACTGATCACTGTTCCTCTATATCTCTCGCTTTCATCCAGCAAAGAGAAGGTAAGGTAGAGAAGAAGTGTGAGGGGCAAACTTAGGGAATCAATCGTCCCCTAAGCGACTGTATCCCCTAACCTAATCAAGGGGAGCAAGGCCTAACAATATAGAACTTAAGATAAGCAAATCAATTCTCTCACTAATGACATTACTTTGCAGCTTTTGTTCTATGAAGTCAAGAACAAAAATTTACAACAGCGATCGTTACCAAATTTGATATAGTATGCACGTTAGAATCCCCCCCCCCCCCAGTATCTCCATCCTTGACGTTGTGGTGGCAAACTAGCAATACATAACAAGTTTTCAATTGGATTTTGCATTTCTTTCACAAATTCTTCTAACTCTCCACTTTCATCACCTACAATATATTGTTCAATCGAGCACGATATGAAAACAAACCCACATACTCTATTAAACACACGATCAAACGACCAATTTACTCCAACCAATCAATTATTCTACAAGAGAGGTCGACCGTTCTATTCCGTTGTAATGGTGAAGTCTCGTTGCAACAAGTTAATTGTACTACTATATTGACTGCTTGTCGGAAGTGGTTGACCATCTTTGATTCTTTTCCAAGCTACTGTAACCTAACAGCTACTATTATATATTCATAGTTCTTGATTTTATGGTTCTCCCCAATGTCTCAAAATTCTCTATAGAATTTGTTTTGAAGGATAAGCTCATTTTGGATTTGAATTGACCATGAACAAGGAGGTCGGCTTTAGTCATGTCTAAATACCTACACTCACTTCCTATAGGGATTTTCTTTTTTTCCCAATAACAAGCGAAACTAAAGAAGATATCAACATCGAATAAGACATTTTGGGTTGTATGTTTCTAATCATGTACTTCGTGTTGATCTAAGAAAGTGCATTATGTATATGACTTGTACCAACCAATTTTGCATGGATTGGGATGTGGCTTCGTACGTGCCATGTACCCGTTCATAAGTTGTTAGAATTTCCAAACTTTGTTAATTGGGATGAATAAATTAAAACCTTTTTTTCAAAGATAGAGTTCATAATAGATATTACAATATGCTGAGTAATCAGATGCGACAGTCAACAAATAGTCAAATTGTCAATGAGAGGGCGTTAGTAGTCACTAGGCATTAGGTGACCAGCCTCGTTGTACAATCTAAGTACAAAATAACAAGAAAACAAAACAAAACACTGCCAACTAAATCTCCTCCAAAATATGTCTCCTGAAACCATGAGTCATTCCCTTTCACGAACGCACCGAATCATTAATTGAAAATCACCACAAAGTTCACATTCAGAAAAATCCTCCTAGAGTCACAAATAAATTTGTCATTTGTCAATCTCTCATACTATTTAAAAAAATAAAAACAAAATTTAATACGATGTAATAGTTAATTTAGAACGAATTTAAGTGTGTAGTCCCACCATGGTTCCTAATCTAGCTTTCAGTTCGGCCCATTTAGGGCGGGCTTTTATGATCGCTCTGCTGATGGGCCATTATGTCGGCCATAAAAGTTGAAGTCCCGACCCGCTAGAAATTATACCACTCGCATCAGCCTCCAAAAACTGCTTTTGCTCGAAATCCTGCTTCGCTGACCTTCTCCCAAAACCCTTGTTCCCTTTTCTACATCGTCTCCCTCGCAGCTCGATCCTAGTCTCCCGAGATTCCACCATGAGCAGATCCGGCCAGCCTCCAGATCTCAAGAAGTAAGTTGCCTTTCTACCTCCGTTCTATCTTCCCCCTGTCAATCTTCCTTCACGGATCGCTGAAATTTTATGTTTAAAACTGGGGTGATTGCAGGTATATGGACAAGAAGCTTCAGAGTAAGTTCCTTCGAGTGTGTCTTTGGGCTTCTTTCGTGTATAAAAAACCGCCCTCTTTCTGCTGAATCTCTAGTTTAGACGCCTAAATTGTGTCTATGGTCATTATCCATTAGGGTTTTTGCCTGCACGGTGCTAGTATCTTTGGTAATTCTTCGGCTTATCCTGCATCATGCTAGTAGCTTTGGTACCCTACTGCATTGGCCTTTTAGCATAGCAGATAGCTTTTGCTGCTAAACTGATCTTTGGGCCAGGGTTTTTATCTTCTTCAACTTGTGTACATGCATTTGTATCTGTATGTGCTTGTTACTTCGTTTTTGTGTGTGCATAAATGTGCATTGGTGGTTGTATGTTTGCTCCAGTGTGTTGTGTCGGTGGCTGAGTTTTGCTGGACTTTAGGGATACGTATAGCTTATGAAACTGTTGTTCGTAAAGAATCCTTTAGTTGAATGGAGCATTCATCCGAATTGGGCAAAATTTGCTGCCCATGTTGCTGTAAAATGCATTACTGTTGGCTCTACTATGTCAATTTCTAGATGAACCATTACGGTTTGGATCATGGCTATATATTTTGGCTGTTTGTTTGAAGTTGCGTCTCACATTGTTTATGTTGATGACTGTGGGGCTATTTGAGTTATTCATTATGATCCTACCAATGCAGTCAAGATGAATGCGAATAGGATGGTGGTTGGCACGCTTCGTGGGTTCGACCAATTCATGAACTTGGTGGTAGACAACACTGTTGCAGTGAATGGGGAGGAGCAAACCGACATCGGGATGGTGGTGAGTTGACTATTTAGTTGTCTGTGGTTTTTCTTCGAAGTTAGGAAAAACCAAAACATCATTGTGGGATATTGATTTCAATGCCGCTTCTGCAGGTGATTAGAGGAAATAGCGTCGTCACTGTGGAAGCACTGGAGCCTGTTAACAGAGGATAATATACTCACGATTCTGTTATGTGTGTTGATATCTACGGTGGAGACATTTTAACTACCTTGTACTCGAGCAAATGTGGTTGCTGTTAAGTTTTCAAAACCTTAACTTTAGGCTCTTATGCGGCCACAGATTGTAAACCAGTCAGTTATATCCTAGAGTGAGCACAAATTCTGTTCCATGAAATTGCAATCGGTCGTACCAGTTTAGAATTGTGTACGACGTAACTGGTTTTATGCCTATGGTTTTCATAATCCCTTTCCATGGGGTTTGTGCGTGTACCTCTTTCCAAAATTTGTCTATCATATGTCATCAGCTGCAAACTTTGTACCAGGTACTAAAGGTCCTATTTCTTTGATGACATATCTCAAAACTCAGCAGTCCTTTAGGCAGAAGACTCCTCGTCTCCTCGACCTTTGAGTGACTCAACTAGAAAAAAAAGATGGCTTCTCTCATTCACCAACATCTCCTCCCCTCTGTTTGTATGATACATCTTCAAGCTCAACAGCAACGCTACCGCCACCAAGCATAACCCGAGCTTCAACAACTTGTCACACAAGGCACTTCCCACCAAGTTGTTCGCTAAGAAACCTGCAAACAGTGTCAGATCCATTGTTAAAGAGTTTTCCAAGTTCGACTGCTGAATAGGAAGGAGTGAGTCTCAGTCTACCAACTTACCCTTTGACATCTCCTCTCCACACTCTGTTTCCCAAGTCAACCCGAGGCCAAATTCGTCGTCAGCAAGGTAAGGGCTATACCCAAACGGAATTTTGACACTCTTCACTACTCTACAAAACTCCGGCAGTACTTCAAAAGAAGACCTCTCCCCTGCCTCCACCGTGTAGACATGATGCTCCTTCCCACTCAAACACGCCACTTCGTCGAACGAGCCCGTGGGGAGCCTGGCCGAGCAGTTCAAGTAATCGAACTCCTTCACTGCATAGGCGTACTGAAACGGGGTGAGGGACAAGTCGAGGTCGAGGAAGACGCCGTGCACGCACCTTCGTGGGTCCGAGAGGTCGATTCTGTTTTCGTCGTAAGAGATCGACTTGACGACCAAGTCGAGGTGGTGGTGGGGGAAGGTGATGGTGGTGGTGGTGTTGTGTTTGCAGGAGAGGGTGAAGCCTGGCTTGCCGCAGCCGGGAGGGTGGTGGGCTGTGAGGTGGAATGGGGTGTGGATTTCAGGGGATTGAGGGCTGCATTTGAGAGGCGGGCAAGTGGGTTGGGAGGAGGAGTGTGAAGTGGGGAAGAAGGGAGAGGAGATGGAGAAATGGAAGAGGAGGAGAAAGATTGGAGCTTTCATAGTGATTGGTTTGGATGAAAATGGAGATATGGGTTGTTGTTTTTCTTGGGTTGATATAGGCAGGGGAAACTGGAAAGGGAGAGGTGGGAAGAAGGAAGGAAGGGGTATTAGTTTCTTTTTGAGTGGGGAAGCAAAGAATAGGAATTAGGAGGAAGAGTCTTCACTTTTCAGTTTTTAAGTAGTAAAAGGAAGGTTGATGTATTTAGAGAGATTTTTCTTTCAAGCTTGTTTGGATACTTTTTTTTTTAGGAAATGGAATTTCATTTGCAATTTTAATTACAATTTTTGTGTTTGCAATGGAAAATGGGTGGGGAATAAATTTTATCTGGTTTAAATTTTGAGAACCGAAAATAATATTAAAAGTTATAGGAATTGGGTTTATGGGAGATGGAATTAGTGGATCTCACCAAAATTTATTATTATCTTATAATTTTATTATTTGTTCTCTCTTTTCTCATTCAAATTTGTTTTATTGTTAAAAATAAAATTCATATTCATTTTTGTGGGAGCTGTATCATACACAAAAATTGGATATGAAATTCTATAAAAATAAGAATAAGACTTGAAAATGAAATTTCATTTTCATAAGGTTATGAAATTGTATCAAAATAGGTCGTTAGGTCATCGAATGATAAGTAAACAAACAAACTGTTATACAAATCTTCAAGTTAAATGTAGTTTTGTTATTAAAACACGGAACTTAGCTTTGGATTAACGCCAAAGAGATACATACCATTTCACAACCTGCTTATAGCATAGAGAGGTGGTTTGTCTTTTGATCCAGGAATTTAGTGAAATAAAAAGTTGTGTAATTTGTGTTAACTAAAAGGTACTTATCGTTCTAATTACATTCGATGAGGTGATCTCATTTTTTAGGTAACTCATGCATATCTTGTGCGCAACTGTCCCCAAACAACACACACCATACATGAAGAAGTTTAATAATTTGGAACGTGTTAGAAACTACTCAAAACACCATTACATGTAACTCTAATAACATTGGATTCTGAGTTCTCGTCACAATTTCATAGCTGCTGCAACTCCTTGTATTTTTGGTTTTTGTGTCTTCCCATGTTTGTTTCACTCATTTGTCACTCTCACTACTCGTTAACTTTGGTGGATAAAAGAGATGCAAAAGAGTGAAAAGTGGGTGAGAGAGTGGGACAAAGAGGATATCTTAAGCAGTGCAGATTTCAGGAGAACCTCTCTCTCACTCAACCAACCTACCCTGCGGAAAGTGCTACTAAACAACACAAGTGGAGAGGAATATGATGGTTGCCTTAGAGCAGAAGAAACTGCCTTTCATTTGCAAGTTCTATTACAGGAGTACTTGTACTTGTCAAATGAGAAGGGTTTTTAAAAAAAAGGACATTTGGGACCAGCTTAATATGGATGGGAAAACTAACAGGACCAGATAAAAGGACACTACCAAACAGCAACTTGGTTTTCGTTGATGTATTTCACTTTCCAACAGACTTCCTTAGTTAGCTTAACTAAGAGGTCCACTAGTGGGCTCGACTTTCTCTGCACCATTTTCTCCCCCCTTTTATGGGTTAGAAACCAGGGATCTTGACTAGTTCTTTGTCTGTTGCTGATAAAGAAATGGGATAACCTTTATTATGACGGGAGAAGACAAGTCCAGTATTGGAGAGGAAAAGACAGCTTCCCTCCGGAACAAGTTACTGAGACTAGAGTTAGATGGTACTGTATGCAATTCGATTCCCATCGGAACAAACCGATATTTGAATCAGACAGATGTAGGACTATAAACCCTTACAAACAACGAACACAAGCGGGTCGAATCAGATCATATCAGATCAAATGTATTCTCAATGTGGTCTCATCCCTCCTCCCGCGTCTTTTTATCAGGTTCTGTACCGATCCTGAGTTCAATGGGAAAATCATACAAACATCCAGTGGCAAACCAAACAAGAGTGGGAACAAAGAGTCTTTAAGTTTCTCTACATCTCACAGAAACCTATCAGCAACAGAAAAGAAAAAGGAGGTTTGGTTATATACATCCAGCGGCATACATGAGGATCCATACTTGTCAGCTCTCAAAGAGTGAAATAAGCAATACATGAACACAACAAACAATCAGAAAAATGATGCATCACAGAAGTCTCGAGCGAAAAGGCGATGCAATCAGCACACAATGCTAGATGTGAAAGAGAAGGCACAGGGAGAAAAAATAATAGATATCTCACAAGAAAACATCTTCTACAGTATATCTTTGGCTAGCCTGATTGGTTTTTCTTTTTCCTTTATAAATTCAACCTCGCCATTGGGTATGGGCAGCAGATGGTGATTTGAATTCTCTTCGTCGCTGGCCAATGAAGCGGATGATATGATAGATCCTGAGGCGTCATCATCTGTGTGTGTTCGGGTATTCACAGTTAGTAAGTAGGCATTGAAGAATTTCGGGGTGGAGTGAGGAATGAAAAAGGCAATTTATCAAAGTCTAATTGCCACAACAATTGAGTTAGGATCAATGAAAACCACACATTCTTTAAGAACAAATACTAACCAGAATATCCGGCGTGTTCAGGTACATGTCGAACTGGTGCTACCTTAATGCTCTCTGGCAGTAGACAATTGCAGAAGGAACCTGAAACCGGGAAACATAAAGTTCTAATCAGATAATTAAAATGCTAGTAGCTCGTGAATTGCAAGACAAACAAGAAGCTGAAAACTTGCAACAGCTATGCCTTATGCCAATTCGCTAAAAAAAAATTATTCTGCTTTCAGATGTAGGCTGCGCCACCCATTCAATATGAGGTTCAACAGCTATGAAATAACAAAAGGGATAAATAAAACTTCCAGATAATGCTCAAGCTCATACAAAACGGCATTACCTAACCGAGCCATCCGATTTATCCATCCTGGAATTGGCTTTCCAGTTAATCTCACGCACGCTTCACTTGTGAAGTGATTGCAATTCTTGGCAATCAAATGATAACAATCACCATGGTAGTCTGATGAAAGGTGTTCCATTAATGCCTGAACTTCTTCCCGTGACAAGCTGGTGTTGCCCAGCAACACTGCTCGTCGAAAGATGAAGCCTGGACAACTTCGTGGTTCCACCTCAAATATCCCACTGCTAGGGTACTCATGTGCTCCAAAACTAAACTCCATCCCATGGACTGATTATCGAATCCAATTGAAATTGTCAAAACACATTATAGACACCATAATCAGTAAGATTTGAAGTAATTTACTTAAATGCATAGCATAGTAACATTTCCGATTCCTGATTGTAACTGCCATCTATGCAAGATCCTTTTTTTGTGGTAATGGTGATATCATTTTCATAATCGAGAAAGAAAGGGACAAACAAACACAAGAACAAATACAAACTCTCCCAACAGGCAACTTGCAAACTATCAGCTAACAAGTAGGGAGCAGGGCGAGGGGAAAAAACAAGATGCAGACAGAAGCAAGGAGATCAAGGCTATCGCAGGATAGGATAGCAGGGTAAATCCCCAAAGCAAAGGCTGAAAACAAGCTAAAGAAAATCAGACAACCAATACATTCAAAACAGCAATTATCACCAATTCTAAAATTAAATCACTCTATTATATCAGACATAAAGTATACTGAAGAGAGACAAGCATCAACACTAAACCATGTATTTGTCCAGATAATAAATGATTTACTCATTCATGTGCCACATAAGTTATAACATTGCAATAGCGTTAAAACATTTGAAAGTTTTGGTGCTTCATAAATTGTTTTCTAAAACTAGCATCTAACATAGTAAGTAGTCTACGCATCTTATCCTTGCATTATGGCTCCTCATAGCCTAAGTTGCATAAAGAATTTAAGAATGGTAACTCATTGCCCGCCCACCTAAGAAACAAATCAACTCACATTCTAGTCTTTTGACACTTGGACAGTCCTAGACATTCAGCACAAGGGAATTACTTGCTAATTTAAGGATGGACTTCCCTGATTTGATTCCTCTTTTGATAGACACTAAAGTTTCCTATGAATGTTAGCCCCTCACTGAAGTTTCCTTCTCTTAAGTCAATTTCACATAACGACACTCATCTGTGAACATGAGAAACAGTCGAATTCATGCCTAAGATAACCTAGTGAAGATTTAAATGCTAACCCTTGAGATTCACTCCATTCTTTTCATAAGAAAAAAAGCAATTCACTCCTTCTCAGATGATTCACTTAACTACAGAATAGAAGTTTACAAGGATAAAAGTGTCAAACTTTCACCATGGTTCTAAAAAATGATCAAAATATGGCAAAATGAGAAAATTCATGGCGGGAACAAACACAACTAGTACAGCTAAACCAGGAACTGAAGAAGGGCTACCTTCGATACCCGAATGGAAGATCCCAAGCCCGAACCAATAGAGGTAGTTATTTACAGTGGTAAGATCATACACATTCAGATATACCGGAATACGACTCCCGCCATCATTGTTAGAGCTTGAGCTGAAAGGGAAGAAATGCATCGTTTACAATCCCCCGTGGAAAACAATTCTCTCCCAAAAAGTCCGCCGCCTCCGCCTCCGCCTCCTTTTACAATTCTATATAACCATATCTGCTAGCAACAAAAACCCTATAGGAAAAAAGCCGACGATAGTGAATATCGATAACCTAATTCAATAGTTCCGAACCAGAAATGACCGAAATTCAGAAAACAAATCTTACATCCAAATTCATTTCCTTCCCTCCAAATGGACGAAACGAAGGAAATTCAATATCGCCGGAAGACCCCAAAACAACCGCCGGCTCGTGCAGTCGATCGGAGCTTGTTGGCGATGTGGAAAGCCGGGGAAAGTAAAATTGCAAATGATTCCAGAAAGAGCGATGAAAAAGGAGACAGCCGGAGAATTCCTCTTCTCTTTTATCTCCTTTTGTTCAGAAACCTGGCTCGCCGGACAGAAGGATGGTTACAGGTTTTGGGATCGGAGACGGCGAGGACAGAGGAAATTGAAACGAAAGAAATTGCTGGCACTTTTTGCAGAGATGTCAGAGACAAATGGCGTCGACGACGAAAGATCCAATGGATTATACACTTTCCAAGTGCTTCAATCATTAGGAAAATACGGTTAAGTGCAAATCAGCCCTCATGCTCGACCTCTATTGACGTTTCAGTCCATTAAAATTAGTTATTTGCTTATTCATCCATCCAGTGATTTCATATTTTTAAATATTTGGTCAATCACCTTTTGATTAAAGTAAATGATATAGCAGCAAGGTTCAAGAAAGTGCGTCTAGGCTTAATTAAACGCTAAGTGGTGGAAGAACGCTTCGTCTTAGATATAAGTGTTAGATAAATTGTTAGGCGTGTTTAATTATGATTAATCGCGTCTAAGCAGCAGATGGAGACTAAGCGGTCTCCTAGACAAGTTGAATTATGGCTAGGCGTTCGCTCAATAATCATCAATGATTAGGACTGTTAATGATCAGGACCGTGTCGAACTTGGTCATAGTTCGGGCTCGGCTCGTTAAGATATTTTCAAGCTCAAGCTCAGCTCCAGTTCGTAATGAGCTTTAATATGCAAATTCGAGCTCGACTCGAACTCGGCTCGACTCGAACTCGGCTCGCTAAATAAGTTTAACAAGTCCAAAATCAAGTTCAACTCATAAAATGTTCATGATAGATTGAGCTAGAACTTAGCACAAAAATTACATTCAAACCTGTAGCAAAGTCGAGCAAAATAAAACACAATATTTTTCTCAATTTCTATACATAAAGTCTATGAATTTCAATTCGTTATTATGTCAAACCGTTAAATAAGCTTGTTCGCGAGCTTCCGAGCTAAACATGGTATGGCTAGAGTTTGACTCGTTTAGTTAACGAAGTTGTCCGTAAGCTGGCTCGATTAAGACGAAACGAGTATCGAGCGAGGTTTTCTCAAATCTAACGTCGAGTTGTTCATGAACGGCTCGGTTCATTAACAACCCTATCAATGATACAATTTTCCATCTCTCCCCCTCATGAAATGCTAGCTAGGTTATAATTAGAACTCGTTACTCGCAGAAAATCAACAGTCGTCGTCTCTCTTCCTCCATCGATCGCTTTGGGTGGGGACTTAGATACAAAGATACCAAAATCTTCTTTAATTAGAGCTTTCTCCATGCCTCAAATAAAAATGGACAAATAATCACTAATGGCTTGTTACTTGTTATGTTAAAACTTGAGTGTTTATAATTTTCTATGAACACTTAGGTGATGTTTAAAGTGAGCTAGGCACTAGACAGGAGTCCAACGCCTTACGTCTAGGCCTAGCCATTTTTGAAGCTTATACAGTGGTACCATGAAATTAGTGTTACGGTTAATCTGATCTAATCGGATTATTAAAAATAAGTCATGTAGAATGAAATATCAGCCACAAATATATTTATGTATAGATGGACATTGCTTTTTCACTAATAGTATAGATAGGAATGAATTTGTTTACACAACAGAAACATGGTTTCGTCAGCAATCCTAAAAACATCAGGTTTGAACTTTGATGGCTATACAAATAGTGAAAAATAAGACGCAAACTGCCAAGTGCCAAGCTCATTATTCCATCACAAAGTTATGTACGCCTTGCCTCAGAGCATGGTTTTTCTTCTCCCATATGTGACAAACACAACCCAGTTACTCAATTTACAACATAAATCGTCGTTAGATTTACCTTATATAGCATTGGTTAATTAAACAACAATGTAATTAATGTAAGATAAGATAAGGACCATACGATGGCTGCATGCATTTTTTCTTTCAATGGCCTATGCAGTTGTCATTTCCATTCTGGATGTCGACGACATTGTAGTAGAGGCAAGATTGCCTGTCGTCGAACGTGGAGACGACTTGATGGGCAGTGAGTCCACAGTATCGCTTCCCCAATCGAGCGATGCAGATGTCGAGGATCTTCTTGAACATTATATCTCCATTGATGAGTGGCTGCGCCAAATAGTCCTCGAGAGGCATCCACTGCAAATTTCAGGGTTAGAAATGATGTAGTGAAGAGTTTGAGAAAGTGGATTTGCGGATTTGGTTAAGTACTCACTCTGGCTGCTTGAATCTCGTCATCATCTATGCTGATCTGAGATGATAAGGGTTCCAGCATGCACACGAAGAAGAGATCGGATTTCTGGAATGCCAAGTTATGAGCATGCCTGCAAATTTGGGAGTCATCATGAAGGTTGAAGATCACCAGGCACATCTCAATGTCAATGTCCATGAAGTTGGTTCACTTGAGCATGTTAATAATAGCATAGAGTTTTGGTACCTGAATGCCATCACTTCCACAAACGCTGTGTCGATCTGCAGAAACATAAACCAAAGGAAGAGACATTCTTGGAAATCAAATAATGGATTATCACAAGCAATGCAATTCTCTTTCAGGCTACAGAAGGAAGGTGATAAAAATGGGTTATTGAATTGGGAAAGGCTTCTTGGCATTACCCCAGTTTCTTCCTTGACTTCTCTTACTGCTCCTGAGTAAATCTCCTCCGCCTGAGATTAGATAAAACCAGATTTGGAGTAAGATCAAAATAGGTTGATGTGGTTGTTCTTTTAAAACTTAGTTCAGAAGTCCTAGAAAAAGGACAGAGTGATTGTTACCTCGTGAATGAAGCCAGTTGGTATCTTCCAAACTCCTGAAAAGGACGGGGTACAGAACTTCTCTTGCACCACAAGAATCTGCAAACTCACCACCATATGTGAAGGTCTTGAGAAGTATTGATCACATAGATTTAGCCAAACACAAAGGACAAGACTGGTATGGAGCAATGCTCATCAGAATGCAAAAAAACAAAACACTGATATCAGTACAACTCAGGGTTATTGGAAGGTGGACTAGTTCTTAATACGAAATCAGATTTGTTATCGATGGTGATTTGTGATATCTATTATTCGAATCCTGGTAACCACATAGGAATGGTACCTCGTTGTTCTCGTTGACGACGAATCCTCCAACTCCTACATGGTGAGAAGCATTGGCTGGCAGCATGGAAGGTCGTTGAGGAATCCAGTAAGTCAGCATCACATATCCTGGCTCTGCATGGTGGTACTCGAAACCCTCCTGTCCAAATATTAAATTCATTAGTATCCACATTCACTAGTCTCTTTCTGCTAAGACACCTATTAGGTTTATTCCTTCCGTCAACTTTGTTCAAAACAAGTATTTTATATATGCTACATGCCTTGTACCAAATTACCTGTACGGCGATTGGAACAAGTTGAGATCTTTCAAGCGGTAATTTCAGCCAAATCCCCTTCTTCCCCTGCAGTTTTACATTGCAGATCAAATGTGAGACACCCTGAACAAAAACCATGAAAAGAAATGTGCCATAGTCCAATGATGAAACCATATCCGAGGTTTAACCGGCGAGACTAGAACTGTTATAACTTTATAAATACCAGCACAATTCATACCGCTCTGGTTTTCGATATGTGGTTCAACCATCAAACAAGCTGGTATGATACGATTTCACAGTCTCACATTAAGCATTTAGTGGAAAATGACCAGACTGAAATGTCATTTATTTCTTCCTACACATTTCTTCAAACGAAAGCCTATCCAATTCCGTCTATTAGATATCCACTGTTTAAGTGTTAACGTTAATCAGTCTGAGATCATCATACCAATTCCTACCACTAGCTTGACACGGAAAACGGCTAATAAACGATCAAAATCAAGTTACCTTGAGTTTCCAATGAGAGAGCGACGAATGGAGCAAAGAGGCGAAAACGTCCTGGTTGGCCGGAAGCAAGTCTGGATCAACAACAACTCCGCCATACTCGTCATCACAAGCAACAAGAACTTCGTCACTCTTCTTGAACACACTCCTCGAAACATCCCTCATGTCGAAGAAGTAGCTCCGCGGCGCCGTGGTCGCCATTTCTTCCCACCCAGCCGAACCGACAATTGTACTTCCTGCAACCGATTCACTTCAGTAACTCCAGCAATTGAGATTTTTTCAAAAGGGGAGAGTTAATTAACAGAGTACCTGTGCGACTGGAAATGACGATGGAGGAGGAGAATCTAACGCCAGAAGAAATGGTGGTGGCGGAATGTCCGGTTCTTCTTGGAGCTAACTCAGACGAAGCACCCATTAATAATTTGGCATCAAATGACTTCAAGTTCAAGTCCATTTTTTTTTTTCTTTTTCTTTCTCTCCTCTTTTTCTTTCAAAAGATTCCCAACAATGGCCGTCTATATGGGTACCAATGGTTTTCTTTTCCTCGTTTTTTTGGTGGATAAAAGGATCTGCTGGCTTGGAATACAGACAAGAAAATAACAAGAAATCCCTAGGGTTTCCTTACACCGTCTGCATCAAAAAAAAAATTGGCATCCCCATAGAGCTCACCGTCCCTTTTTGTTCCCCTCTTGTTGCAAACAGCTTCGTTCAAGACGAGGAATCAACAACCAGCCCCCAAAAACAGAGAGGAGCTAAATTGCAGAATACAAAAACCAGAGGAGCTCGAGAAATGGGAGCTGGGTTTTAGAAAAGTTGGTGCCTTTTAGAGTGTGGGTAAAGTTGCAGACAGGAAGAAATGGGTTCTTATCAGGGGAAATGAGGAAAAGGAACAAGGAGAGAGCTGAAGGAATGTATAAGTTAATATACTCTCTCAGTCTCTCTGTTTCGACTGCTGCTGTTGAATCTGAAGCTTAATCGTGAATGGGGGTAGCAGAGCTCTCTGCTTCGGCTTTTAAAATGGTGGGAAGTGGCAGCACCTTGTCCCTGGGCTTGATCAGTGGGAGAAGAAAACAAATGAAATCACCCTGGAAAAAGATAATCAATAATTGAAGTAAAAAAAAAAGAACGGGGAGGAATATGTGGTTCGCGCTCTTCTGTATGCAGCTCTCCAACATGAAAAGAACCCACTGCGGCAGATATTTTGTTGCTTGTGACATATGCCAATTTCAAGGCTTTTCATTTGTATCAGCTCGGCCTAGCTTGTATGCAAAAATTAGTTTAAAAGAATTTGAATCCAATGAGGGGAGAGATTTACCATCTAATAAAGTTCGTACAAAGGTGACATGGGTAAAAAACGATGAGCTTAAAATATTAATATTAACAAAATCAAATGAGAATACCGAAATGATCACAAGGGTTTGATAGAACAATCTCATTAATCAACATACATGATTAGTTGTTTCAAGTAAAAAATATAAATTCTCGATTAAAAGTCGATCGACAATGCATATTGTTTAGAGTCGGTGGCCATAGGTTATATCAAACCAATGAGCAGTTTTGTAAAGGACAAGAGAACACAGTTGTAAAAGGATCGGCTGGCTAACGGATAAACAATGAAGGATGAAATTCTATAAAACCAAATGCAAAATGGAGAAAAGGGGCGATGAGACTTGAGAGGAATTGCATATGCTAAACAACATTCACGTGTATTTGAAGCTATATACGCCGGCCGTGTTCTGCTGTATGCCTTCACTCCGTACCACAATATACACACGGTTTGGTAGAAAATGTTTCCAGAACACGAATTTTGATGATGTTTTGAAGCAAAAATACGCAACTGATTAATTACTGATAATTAGTATTATACTGTAAATACGTGGATCCACGTGTAAACTCACGTGACTGTTTGTGAATATTTTTTTTTCCATCCGTATATTCTTTTCCAGTTTTGTCCGATATTGTCCAACGAAGAACTGCTCAGTTTCTGGTTCCAAGACAGGCAGCAGAGACAAGAAATGATGTTGAGATATTCCGCTCGAGGAAAACTAGGATTGAAATTGCTCCTCTGTTAAAGGGAAATTATAGGGATCAGTTAGCGTGACTACCCCTAAAGGGGTAGTGATTTTTGACACCCCCTTTATGATTGGCCAATTTTATTTCCAATCATTGGCAAGTATTAATTAAACTGATTTTTTATTTTTTTTAATCTTGTAATTTGGGGTCTCTCACCACATTGGAAAAGAGAAAGAATCTGGGGAAAAACGAAATCACCCCCATTAATTACATAATTAATTTCTCTCACTGGTACATTAATTACACGTACCACTCCACTGGTACACGTACCACTCCACTGGTACACGTACCACTCCACTGGTACACGTACCACTCCACTGGTGCGAGCAATCCACAAGGTAGGTTAGAGTGAGAACAATACCAGTGCAATGATATTTTTCATAACAATGATAAACAATAATAGGGAAAAAATAGAAACTTTCCATTAGTAGCCAAAAACTGTGTTCCAAAATGGGTTGCAAAATTAGGGAAATGCCAACAACAATGCCAAAAGCAATAAATTATCCTTCGAATGTGAATAAACATAAAGTCTTCACAATTTTTTAAGCCTAAACAGGACATATGGTTACACGTACCACTCCACTGGTACACGTACCACTCCACTGGTACACGTACCACTCCACTGGTACACGTACCACTCCACTGGTACATGTACCAGTGGAGTGGTACGTGTAATTAATGTACCAGTGAGAGAAATTAATTATGTAATTAATGGGGGTGATTTCGTTTTTCCCCAGATCCTTCCCCATTCATAATTACCAACGTTTTTCTCCTTCCCCATTCATAATTATTATCACAATTAAGGCTTTCCCAATTTACAAGATTACAATAAATAAAGTAAAAAGCTTAAATGGAAAAGTGACCAATCAAGAGGAGGGTGTCAAAAACCACTACCCCTTTAGGGGTTAGCATAGTATCCTACCCCCACTCCCCGAAATTATAAGATATAAATTTGCATTCAGTCAAGCAGATATGGAAAAGCATTTTAAGTGTGTTAAATTCAGTAGCTGGACATATGTATAAACAACAGCGTAAACAAACACAGTTGATGATCAAAGCCATGGTTTACATAATCCGTCTCATTAACAGAAGATTAAGGGAAAGTGTGGCTGATAAGTGATAATACTAGGGGCGGTGGCGGACGACACGAAACCCCTGGCGGTGGCGCGTGATTCCGGACAAACTAGGTAAAGTGGGAACTCGTGGATAGCATTTAGAACACGTGATTTGGTCCCTGATAATCATTAATCTAATATGAGCTTATCCCATATCATCTATCTGGCTTACCTAACTTTCATGTCGAGAGGGATTGGATGGTTCTATGCGTGGCATCCACAGATTGTTTTCTTCTTTTCATACAATTGTAATTCAAGCAAATGAGCATCCGAACCTCCTACTTTAGATGGGAGGAGCATGCAATTATGGTGTTAAATGTGATTTAGAGGATCGGTTAGCTGAGAGATCGGTCGAACCGATCGAATCAATTTCACATCGTACCATCGTGAAACACTCTGACTAGAGGTGAAAACTAAAAACTCGATGTTCGGAACCAACCAAACCAAACCCAACCCAACAAATTGAACCCACCCATCCGTTTGTCGGTGGTCTTTTCCCAGGACTTCTAAACTCTCAGTCACACCAAGGCGCCCAGAATTTCAACTCTTCTCGAGAATCACAAATAAAGGAATTGATTGTTTCTACGTTTACACTCACTAACCAGAATCTTCCCATCTCCACAGCAACATCCACTTTCTTTTCTATCAATCATAATTCCCCACTGTCAATCCAATTATCATCTTCATCGTTAAGTTAAAAACACCTAGCAGCAGTGCGGTAGAGAAGTAACCAGCTACAACATTCACGTCCCTCCTCCTCTAGATCAAACTTGCAATCTAATCACTTGGCAAGTCGAGTCGATTTGATCAAACCGTGCGTCGGCAACCAACTTACAGTCTGCTCAGCCATGCACATCTCTTTCTTCTTAGTCTCCTTCAGACTCCAACAAGATTCAAGGCGTCAGAGATGAGAAATAACCACACTTTCTTCTTCTCCTCCATAGGAATACCATAAAACCAAAAGCTCCTACTTAACTGTCAATTGCCACATCTAATGCTTTATGGCCTGTAGAAAACTGCTCCAGTACAAAGTCCTACTACACCCTTCAACTCTTCCAAGTTCCAACTAGCCATATGCAAACTTTCCAACATCACAATCTCCCTATGAAGCATCTTGGACTTCCATCTTCATATCCTACCTAACTTCTAGATTCACTAACACTCCCCTGATTGCATCAAAAACAGGTTCAATTAGAAAGACTTTTCATGCTACTACCACTTACAATCTCCCCCACTATACTGGTTTTGGTTTAGCCACCATCCTTCCATAATCCAACTAATACCAGCAGAGAGATTTGCCTCTACCTCCATTACTAAATGAATCTTGTATCTACCCTTTCGAGCTCTAAGGCAAGCTCAAATGGAGGAACCAAATTGAGGGGTTTGTCATCTAACCCGCAAGAGATCGTCATAATTCCACAAACACAGCAAATACCCTCAAAAAGTTGCAGCTAGTGAATACAGCAGAATTCAGATTTAAGCAATGGGTTGGGTTTTCAGGTGGATTGCATTGAAGAGTTCCATCCAGTGAGTAGAAACATAACAATCCGCCACAACCATGACAATCGATTTCAAATTAACTTAAGAATTAGCATCACGATTGCACAAATTCACAAAAGTTATCACATACTACTATCTCTGCGACCTAGTTCTAGTTCAAGCACCACGATGTAGATTCGACAGATAGGGAAGCAAACCAGCTAGATTATGAAGAGGGATTTGGATCAGATAGGGCTGAGTAGCTGGTAGAGCTGTGGCTTTGGCTCGGAGTTCATTCCAATAACGATGATTAGAGGAATGAAGCCGTAATGAGCGATGACTTTGGACTTCTCCAAGCTCCAAGCGCTCCACTCTTTCAACACCTGGACCGTCGATCTCTCTGCCGCGCCATTGGCTCCCTTGTTGTTGCCGCTGCTGGGCTTTAGCGATATCCTTGACGCCATTCTTTCCCTCCCTCTGCGCTGTGCCGACTTCTAAGGTCGCGGATCTCTGCTGCTCTCTGCTCTGGAGTCTGTCCCTTCCGCTAATAGTGCAAGGAACCCTAATGTGGTCTACTTCTCCTGTTCTCTCAATTGTCAAATTGATAAGGGTTAATCCCCAAAGTGGTCGTTTAAACTTTTGCATTTTCCCCAAAAAGCCCTCGACTGGCCTTTTTTCCTAATTGAGTCCTTCAATCCCGTGCAAGGTTGTCAACCCGCGGGTTGACCCACGGGTCGACCCAATTTGACCCCGACCTGGTGAGAAAAACGGGTCGTACGTATCCGTCGGACCGACCGTTATAAGGTATCGGGTTGGAGGTCAAATTGTATTATTTTTTTCTTTAGTTTGCGAAATGCGCCTATTTTCCAATTTTTCTTTTCGCCTAACTCAATCTTTGGAATACTAAGTTGAACATTTGAATATTTATGTTATATAAGTGTGTGTGAATTTTCACTATATGTTGGATCTAAGTACGATATGTTATTTTGGTGTAATAATATGTGTTATAACTCATATGTTAGATAAGATTTGATATAATTTATGAGGATAAATACAATATAAAGACTCTTTCTATATTTCCGGGCTAAAACGGTTGACCCATTAACCCTTGACCCACTAGCTCGACCGGGTCCGGGTCAACCCGTGGGTTGACAACCTTGATCCCGTGAAACTATTTCATATTCGAACATTAGCATGTTTGAATGAGTAATTCTAATGGATCAATTTGAAATAATCTCTCGTTTTGAGATAATTGGGCAAATTTGATTCGTTTAGCAACAAAAAATTTAAATGAAGCAATTTGGTTTGGAGAATTATGAAATGACTCGTTTTAAGACAATTACAATTGTATAGGGTGGTAGCTGGTAATTCGAATTGACTCATTTTAAATAACTCATTTTGTAAAACGAGACAATTGGTTAAATTGTCTAGTTTTGTAATTGATCCATCAAAACAACCTAATGTGCGCTAGTTAGGGACGCATTAATGTCTATTCTATTATTTGATTCAAAGAGTCGGTACTATCATTGTAGACATGTAATAACCCACATGAATGAAATTGGATAATCATAAAATAACTCAATGTCTTGTCAATCACAACTAGGAGTGGGCAATGGGTTGGTCCACACCAGACCATACTGGACCGAATCGATATTTGAACCGGACCACACCAAATCGAATATAATATCTCCGTTACTTGGTTCTATGAATTTCCAAAATACTGAAGAAAATTGACTGAATTTACATTTGGACCGGACCAAAGCGGACCGAATGCACTATTGGTTTGGTTCGGTCCTTTGTCCTAATATATCTTTTACTATTGGACCGCGGTTCTCTTGAATTTGATCTGATCCGGACCGGACCGACGCCCACCCCTAATCACAACACAAAAGTAGAGATATTTATAGCATTAATGCTTTGGTTTGAAAAAAAAAAGTTTATAAAATGAAAGTGTACCTTATACAAATTTTGTTTGTATATTTTTGTAAATTTTTTTTTAAGTACAAACCATAGTTCAAAAGGTGTGCTTATTCTTAAGCTAGGCATGTCTTGACACTAGGCAACTCCAAAACGCCTCATCCAGGGGATCCTTAGCGCATTAGGTACCAAGAATATGTGGACAGAGAAAGGCGACACCTAGATGTCGATGGTGTAAGGCAACACGCAAATGTCGTCTATGTATAATTAAATGGACCTAAGAAGCCATTATCAAGTAGGAAAGCATACCTCGACAACTCTAAACTAGACAGAGAAATGGTTTTTCTTGCCACACTATGGACAACATGATTGGCGATCCTAGAGACCGCACAAACCTCTAAGCCTATGTTTAGAGCAGCAATTATCTGACGACAGTCTCTGAGCATTGGCCATTCATATGAATCTGTCTCTATCTCTATGAGTAGTTGGCGGATGATGACTTCACAATCATCCTCCACTATGACGTCATGGAGGTCAAAGTGATGAATCAAGTGTAAACCATCTTGAATCGTTATTCGGCCAAGTACATGTTGCCAATTCCAAGATGTTGAAGTCCAATAGCGAGATGCATACGATTGTCTGCAGACTTATGAAAAACAGTCTGGATGGAAAAGATGATATGATCCGAGTAAAAGAAGAAAATGATTAATTAGAATAAAGGATTCCTTAGTGAGTTGGGTGGTTGCAAAGGCTTGGTCGGTTGATAGGCTACAAATTTGGGGTGAATTTAGAGGAACACAATTAAAACCCACATGGTCTGCCACGTGGACCAATCATAAACAACGACACTTTAGTATTGGACCTAAGGTTTGGATGTTGATTGCCCTATTTTCATAATTGGATCGAAAGTTGAACCAAATGAAGCAGTGGTTTATGATTCAGCGATTATATGTCACAGTATTGTTGGTTAACCGATTGAAGAATCGTTCATGCATCATAACATAAAAGACATATATAATACCAAATTTATGACTGAATTTATCAACCGATATAGAACAGTGGGATAACTCATAACTGTTGACATAAACAAATTTATCAATTCAGATTGGTTGGTCTTAGTTTCAGTTAAACTATGTGTTTCTCTTAAATTTATGGTGGATAGGACAAGTAAAACCAGGTAGTTCATTTGGTTTAAAGTCTAACTATTTTGAGTCAAAGCCATAAAAAAAATGAACCAAATCCTTGTTGTAACTGATTTGGTGCTTTTACATATATATGGGTCGGGATCCGGTCACTTCCCTTAACGGGGTTGTGAGATTCACAACCAATGGTATTTTGGTATGACATAAAACTAAATTTAATTAATTTTTTGTATTAATTATAAATTGGAAATTAAAAACTCATATTAAATACATATTTTTTAAACCTATAATAAATACAACTCTTATAGTACCACTACCACTAGACAAAAAGCAGATATGAAAATCCAAAAACCTCATATATGAAAAACGAAGGGGGAGAAGAGATGAGGCACGGAGAGGCAGAGGGACTCACACGAAGAAGAGATCTGGAAAACGAAGAGATGAGGCAACGACAAGGGTTGAGGGCGGCGGAGGATTGTAGAGGCTACAGCTGCGGTGGTCGGCGGAGACCAGCGACGGTTGTGGAGGGAGGCGGAGGCCCGCGACTGCAGTGGAGACTGGCGGCAGCAGTAGAGGCCGACATCAGTCATGTCTGATGGAGAGATGGAGGAGGGAGAGAGGGAGGACAGGATTAGGGAGGAGTTATGTTTTTTCTTTCTTTATATGGGAGGGAGAATAATTGGGTGTGGTAACATTTTGCCATTCCAAAAATATCATTCTTTTAATCCTGACCATCGATTTGAAAAAAAAGAAGAAAGAGACAGGAGAGAGAGTACAATGGCTAGAAAATGGGTTGTGAAAAGGGGTTGTGACCGTATCCCACCCCATATATATAGCTAACTAGCATGGGCCCCGACCATTTGGTCGGAGGAAGGTGAGGTATGAAATTTGATAATGTAATGGGGTGTATAGCTTATTGTTGTATATTTTTTTTGGGAAACACGTGATAAAAATAGTGAATTTTAGTAGGAAAGAGACATGAATGATGCAACGAATCAAAAATCAGCCTTATGAACCAAAACCAAGTACTTGTTACCTTGTGAAACAATATTGTTTCTGGTAATATGATGAGGTGGAGTAAGTTCTATAGAAATCGAATTCCAGAAAATCGAATAAAAAATCGCCTATCCCGCCGGTTTTCGGGAAATGAGCATCTCACAATCGTTGCTAGCTTTTACTTGGCCCGTTGGCCGATTAATTTGCTTTATAAAACTTTCACCTTGTCATCATTGTGCTTTCTGGTTTTTTGCCAAGCCATGATAAAATATACAGAAATCAAGAATGAACAACACGATTTGGGATAAGAACCACCGTTCCTGTATCCCTAGAAAATGGTGGTAAACACGGACTCACCTGCCAAACTGGTTTGGATTGAAATTTTTATCGGGTATCAGGGAACCATGTGATTATAAATTAGACTTGATCAAAACAGACCAAAACTTGAAATTCAGCCTGTTTGACCGACCCATGCCAAACTCTAATGATTCTTTACTATTAAACGTTCTATTTGAAAATAAAAAATAATGAAAGAAAAGAGATGACTGCAATTCGTCATTTGCACATCACTGATTCGGAAATAAAACTATAGAATTTCAAAAGGAAATTGAAAATATTTAGGATCGTTTTAATGTTAAAAATAACCAAATAGAATTTTCTGTTTAGTTTTTTACTAACAAATACCAAAACGATTCCCTATAATATACACTATAATTTAATCATCATGATATTAAATAATTACATAATATATATTTGAAATGATAAAAATTGGACTAATTGGGTTGGTCGAGGTTGAACCATTGAATAACTTTAAAATACATTATATTTTAGCCACTAAGATATAAAATAATAGCATAATATATATTATGCTTGTTTTAGAATGACAAACCCATGATGTTCATTTGTTTTACTTGATGGGCAAATTCCGTGTAGGTTAGGCCTATTCAACTCTTTTATTTTATGATGATTAGCGGTTAGCCCATTAGAATCCATGCATTAGTTTATTGTTAATTTTTTTTCTTTTAGCAATAAAATGGAGTATTATTTTTGCCTTTTCATATATATTTTACCACCACAGAGAAATAAAAGGACTTAAAGAAAAAAATTGACACTCCTGGACCCGTTTAAATCCGCATGTGTACGGTAAGTTGACCCGTTCCACAGAGGAAAAAGAAAAAAATTGACACTCCCTATTCTACCCTTCATACAAACGCTCCTGGAACAATGAATTTGAAATGGGGAAGAGTTTTTTCCTCTCTGCGATTATATGTTTTTAATTTAAAAAAAATACAACAAATGTATTTAGTGTGACTGTGTGATTGATTATGATCTTTGCTTTTCTTTAAAGTGGCCATAGTTCGAATCCTAATGCAGGAAATTTGAAAATGAGACTTCAAGTTTTCTTATTT